ATGGTGATGATGAAGGGGGTGCGTGCGTATCTCCACGTCCCCAGGGGGTGGTAGCCCTGGGAGTGCGTGTGAGTTACCACGTCCCCGTGATGATGATGATGATGATGATGATGATGATGGTGATGATGATGATGGTGATGATGATGATGGTGATGATGATGATGATGATGATGGTGCTGGTGCTGGTGATGGTGATGGTGATGATGATGGCGGTGATGGTGATGGTGAAGATGATGATGATCATGATGATGATTGATGACTTTGATGATGATGATGATGATGTTGATGATGTTGATGGAGAGGGCAATGACGATGCTGATGACGATGCTAAGCTTTTGGGGTTTTGTAGCTAAACACCCTATCTAACTGTCACTGGTTTCATTATTCCCCATCTTGAGGAAAATCTGGAGCCTCGGAAGCAACCATTACGCCCTACTGACTTGGGTGAACTTTTGGTGGATGAGTTTGCATCCGGGACATCCAGTGCGTCCCGTGTCCCTCGGGGCCAAATTCTAGGTTTTTATTTCACCATTATTATTTTACCTCGGTGCACTAGGTTTATATTTGGCACTCACTCCGTGAGAAAACTTTAGGCTAGTGGTGGCTCTAGTCACCCCAAAAAAACACATATACATCTTAAAATTTCAATCGTGGATGGCCGCAAAACACGAAATTATAATTTGTGCAGCATCGTAGCCCCTAAGAAGTTTGGGATTAGTAGGGGGAAGAGGCTATAATAATAATTCTAAATATAAATGTATGTATACACATAATTTTGGCTATGTTTTATTTACTATATATTTTATATCTATATATCTATCTGTATATTGTATATCTATCTATCTATTGATTATAGATTAGATACTTTATTCAATATCAATATATATATATATAACACAACATGCCTGGAATTTTTGCAAGCAACCCAGGTGCAGAGGACGGCTTCTTCAGCATTGAGCTGGCTGAGACGGCATGGTGGTGACACGCCGCAGAACGATCTGGTGAATAAAATCTCTGGTGTCGCCACAGGTGGGCGACATCTTCAAAATGCCGAACGAGACTTGCATAGGCTCTTGCAAAACGTGTCAATGTCGCTTGCTGCAACTCCGGAGATCATCATGGTCCGCATGTACAACCCTGCCACGCTGGAAATTGAATGGCAGCCGTTGCCAGTGCTGTTTCCGGACACTTTGCTCCAGGCCCTCTGGCAAGCTGGTGAGGATGTATTTCGATATTGTCTCTTCGGGAAGATGACTGAAGATGAGACGCTTCAGTTTTGGAAGCACATTGAGAAGCATTGCCCGTGGTTTCAGTCAAGCCCCGCTTACAACTGGGAGTGGAAGCAAAAGGTGGCAAGTGTGGGAACCTATGGAGACGAAATCCAGTGTTACAAGAACAGCGAATGCGGGGTAGTCAGCGTGACTGCCTGGACAGCAGAATTCTCCACTCAGAACAATCCTCTCTTGAGATATTTCCCAATTGCTGTATGGTCAGAGCATTGCGAAAGCGAGTTCACTTTTGCAGATCTTGAAAAGGAGATGATTGAACGGTGGCGCCGCCTGACTGATCCATCTCTGACTTGGCCATGGACCAGCTCAGGATATTTGATCGCATTCACTTTTTGCCAAGGCGACCTAAAATGGCTGAATTCCCGCATGGGAGGCTTGCATAATTATCGGGCCAACAGCTTTTGTTCGAGGTGCGAGTGTGTGAAAAATCACCCAAACACACAGCTGACCCTTCCGAACATGAGCAATGACCCGGATGCACACACAGTACGCAGCTACTCTTCGGAACAACTGCAAGCTTTCTCTCCACTTCTGGGGCTTCCAGGAATGTGCTTGGAGCGTGTGATGCACGATGTTGCCCACAGCCAATATCTCGGCACGGGAAAAACAACAAATGGTTCCCCAGCTTGCATGGTTTCATTGCAACGTTTTCTTTGGTAACTTGTGTTGTGACAAGTAACATTTGCATCTGAAAGCAGTGCCTTATTTGTGGTGTTCTGTTTTGTGTGGCTGAGGCGCGGCTCTGATCTACATGTGCGAGGCTGGCTACTTTGGGCAGGTGATGGGATTGCCTGGCCTCTATGTTGACCGCCTTGCTCCAGCACTTCGTCGGGCACATAGGGACTTTTTACTCTTCAAGAAGATGCACAAACTCTCTTGCAGCCAGCCACGTTTTACACCTGCGAGGTTGAATCGAAAGGTTCAAACTAGCCCTTCGGTCTATGAATATTGTATTGTTTTCGCCCCCAAACGGGTATATTTTTTGCATCAGCTGTTAGAAGTGTCCCAGCCAGTGCTGTTGTTTCCGGGGTTGTCATAGCTGCGTGGCTGAGGTTTCCCTGCGTTGCAGTCCAAAGCAGTGGCCAGCAAAGTGCTGACTTTCTGGCTCGCCAACAGAGCAACTACCTTTGCGCAAAGGCCTGACGCAACGAAGGCTGACCGTATCATGGCCATCTGTTTATATGCCTATTCAAAGATGATCATGGTGATGGACGAGGCTGACCATCTGATGACGGAACGGCAAGCTGCTGATTTTCACGGTTGGGTGATCAAACACCTACATTCCTATATCTGGCTGCACGGACATGGGATGATGCCTGGGGCCGCAAGGACCATGCCCGGGCGGCGTTGCTGGTTGCTACTTCCAAAACTGCATCACCTTTGGCATTTGAGCTGGGACACTTTGCAGAACAGGGTGAACCCTAAGACCTGCTTGTTGTTGTCCGCCGAATCCTTCATTGGAGACATAGGTCGAGTGGCCAGGTCGTGCCACCGAAGTACAGTATCAATCCGGACCCTGGAGAGGTGGGCCGTGAAAATGGCTTTGAAAATCGAAGCCCTCAAGGAGGAACTCCGAGGGAACTAGTTCCAGGCATGTTGCGCTAGATATGAAAACATATGTATGAAAGTAACCAGTATATGCTAAATTGTACTCAAGGCTCTTTATTTTATCCCATTAAATACAACGCCATCATGTTTGGGATTGCTGGGTTTCCGCACAGCATGAGGCAGCCAAAGGCTGCAGCAAAAAACATGGGAAATTGGGCCAAAACCGTGCACCCAGCATGCATCGGACCCTCGCCAGGTTGACTCCCAGGGCCCCTTGCCCCACGAGGGTCCCAAAGGTATCGGGAGCGTTTGGGCAGGGAAAAAACATGCTGGCATCTTTTGGTACATCATCCTTATAGCAAACATGGCTAACATGTAAAGGAAAGAAACCCTCGTAGTTGGACAGTCAAATTTACCATAATAGAGTTTCATTCAAGGTGTCCTGGAAGTGTTGCCGCAAGCCATGTCAATCCTTAAAAAATCGACACCCGCTCAGGTGGGGGCCGTCTAAATTGGATACCAAAAAGGGATTAGACCATATGTGGCCGGCTCATACAGTACCCCATTGTTCTGCAACTATTTCACCATAGCGTTGATTGATCTTGTCGAATTTGTCATACATGATTTTCGACTGATACAAAACGAATGGTAAAATGTATGTAAAATGCTAAACAATTCAATGGTTGATCTCATAAACTTTTTGTGCTTGTCAATCTTTAATAATGTTCCCTGGATGGCAGGATTACAAACATACACATACTGATCTTTTAGTTGGGGTTAAATGGATGTTATCCCACATCAGACTGAGCAGGGGGTCTGGCCAAACCAGCAAGTTCAGCAGCTTTCAGGATTTCAAACCCTTTAGAAACCCCGATTTAGCGTTGGATTTGTTAATTTTGGGGCTCATATGAGCAGTGTTCAAAACCCCTGTTGGTTGATGATTTTAGGGGATTATACCACTAAATATTACCAGTATAGTGGAATGATAGAGGGATTTTGAACACTGCTCATATGGGAATGAACACTGCACTGGTCGACAGCCCCTTGAGCCAGGTGCTTGCCGCGAAAAAGTGGTGCCAGCTGCAATTTTCCATTGGCCATAGCAAGTGCTGTCGGGAGAATTGGTTGAAACCACCAAAGAAATCCTGTAACCAACCCTATATTCTGCATGGTTTCATCCAAATAATCGATATACTAACTTACAAAGATTGGCAAACTAGTCGTGCTTCCTAAGCCAGGTATAGAGATAGAAAAAAGGCAAGCACTGGGCAAACCATAGTGATCACATGTGATCACTAACTCCGTAAACCACTGGATGACACCAAGGTTTGGTGGCCGCCGGCCTGAGCCATGTAAAGGGAAAGCAATAGTAATCCCATCCGAATATGAAACACCCTTTTTCTGGTCCCAAATATGCGTAAATCCACTATGAAGGACCATGGTTTGTGGGACACCGGAAAGGGATTCGTATTTATCCAATGCTTTCCAATCTTTCAGAGTCATGTTACCTTGGCCGACAGCCCGGGCCTAGATTTTTTGGGTACCGTAGGGTAGATTTCTTGCAGACAAGGAGTGACAAGGAGTCCATTTCTATCAACAATTGGAGCACTGAAGGGATATTGGGATGATGCGTGAACTGACCGATAGCCATATGGATCCAGCAGTGGATGTTGCGGGTTTTAAGCATGATATGTAGTTTACATAATGTTGTTATTGTTCAAGGTCCCATATGTTTTGTGTTTTCAAGGTATCAGCACCAAAGCTTTAGACATGCGAAAACCAGGATGTAAGGCCCCATCCTGAAAGATCTGAAAGTCACCAGTCTCACTTGTCGTTTGAATGACCGGTTAGCATTTGTTGCACCCATTCACGTTCCCATTTTACTTGGTGGTTTCCTGTCTATAACTTATATAGTATTATTAATCATTCATATCATGTCATATCTCTGTATATGGACAAGTTAGATCCAACTTGTTAAATTTCTGTTCCATAGAGTATATACACTCTGGTAAACTAACATAACTATGGAAAATCACCATGTTCAATGGGTAAATCCACTATAAATGGCCATGTCCAATAGCTATGTTAAATTACCAGAGGGCACAAGATGATACAAAATCTATAAAACTCCATGACTCCAGGACTGAAATCCCCAGGGTAGCTATGTTTCCTCGTCGCAAAGCCACGCTTAGCTGCCTGCGCGGCCTGCTGTTGGCGACCACTTTGGTGCTGCGACAATCGCTGGCGTGGCTGGAGCCAGGCTGGATAAGATGGGGATTTTTGGGATATAACTTCGGAATATGATTCATATGACCAACAAAGATTGTGATCTAATGGTGATGTAATGGTTGCTTAATGGTGTTTTTTATGGGTTTTAAAAGTTTTAATGTGATAAAACAAAGCAACAATATGAGATATGCCCCTAAAACTAAGCACCCTGCAGAAGCCATGGTGGATGTAGGGGATTTATGGCTGGAACCATAGCAAGGCTGTGTTTAATAAGTGATGGGATGTAGCACCAAAATGGTCATCCTATAGCTCTTTACAGGTATATATTATAGTGGGATATACAACAAGCTGATACTTAATATGAAACACTATGAATCAATGAACGGCTATTGTTATAGGGGAATCTTTCATAATCTATCAATCCTTCTAATGATTACATGTAAAGTACGATTATCACTCGTACTATTATCGGTATCAGGATTTTTTACATATCTTTTTTTTACTATAATATGTTATCATTATAGTCATTAATACTATCTATATCGGAACTCATGCCAATTTGAAAAAAAACATCAAACATGGGGATTTGAACAGCAAATGTCAGGGGATACAATGGGAGAAACCTCTGATTACCCAGCCAAACTGGGGATTTTTGTTATGATATACCCTCTGGTAATAATGGGGATTTATAGGGATTTATAGGGATTTATAGGGATTTATAGGTGATATAATGGATAATACCTCTGGTAAAGATACAAAAAGCTATGGAAAATGACCGTTTATAGCTGATTTACACATTAAAAATTGGATTTTCCATAGCTGTTTGATTGTTTGTATGTTTACCAGAGGGTAACCAAATCAAAATAGTGATAACATATGAAGCATATGGGACTGCACAGTTTCTTCAGTGGAAGTGAGTCTTCTAAACCAAAGGAATCAAAGCACATGAAGTAAGGAAGAGTTTTTTTATGGTCCTTGCTTTGATACTAAAACCAATCTAATGCGGTACACCCTTTACTACACATCATCCGGAAATGTTGCCACTTGGTGATTGTTTGTAATTTGCAAGACGAACATGTACCATACCATACATGGATATACAATGATATACATAAAGTGCGTGAAAACAAGACGTACCACAGCAATGGTAAAAATCCTTTAGCCACTATCGTTCAACCTGATTTGCCATAATTTGGCCATTGGTTTACTATCATCTAGCCAGACTAAAACCATGAGAATCATGAAGGATACCCATCGGCCCATCGGCTAAAATAGATTATTTTCACCAGACATCTCCAGACATAGTAAAATTATTGAAGGTTACCATCATGTAGTCGCCATTTTTATCGCCATTGGCCATCATTCTAGATCTACCTGACTTAGTCAGCAGGCTACCCCCAAACTCCGCGGTGGTTCATCACATGCGTCGAAACCTCGGAAAAAAACGTAACGCTGATCCCGTCATAAATATTATTCCCTACGAAAGGTATCAAAATGTCAGCACAAAAAGCACAAATGTGTTATATCAGCATGAAAGATCACATTTCATCACTCAATGTCAATCACATAATAAGTTATTGCTGCCTTCTACCACCATTTTTCTGAAAACCCGTGAGCACAACGGTTCCGCCGGCCTTTCGAAAGAAGCCGTGAGGCCAAGTTGGGCGGTGCCAGCGGCGTGCAGGCGGATGGTGGTAGAAAAAGAGCACATACAGTGCCGTGTATCTATCTCTATAAATATAAATATATAGGTCAATGTACATACTATAGACTACTATAGTATATTATAGTACTATAGTATGTATATTGTATGTATATATAATGATTATGATGATATAAGCTATAATAAATGGTAATTGTGTAATAACATCATGTATGCCATTCTCAATATGATGTATATAGATCTATTTACCAACCTACGATGGTTCAATTAGCCGTCGTCATTATTTTTTGTCACTGTTGTTCAACTATGATGTGCCAACTGGTATCCAAAAGGCCTCAGATGCAATGGGACCAGTGGGTATCAGCCCATCCCTAAGGCCCCGCCTTTAGGCCTCCTCAGCTTTGCAAGCCTCGGGCTGCCCCGCCAAGTTTCGGCAGTTTCGGCCGCGGACAAAGCACCGCTGGCGCAACGGCCCTTTGAGTCCTGGTGGACATAGGTTTTGGAGTGATCCCAAAATCAGGGTGAATTGATTGGGATACTGGGTGAATTTATATATATATAGTTATATATATATAGTAAAATCCATGTTGTACTTGGCTCTGAACATAGGAAATTGACTATTAAATCATATGTGAAACAACTTGTTGTAGAATACATTTGTATGTTCTACTACTGGATGCTTGGCTTGAATAAATCAGAGCAACAAAACGCTAGACCAGCCTCATTAGCCCCTTGCTGATGCCTCTCTTGCCCAGAGTGATCGCTGTACTATACATGTGTTGATACGGTTTTTTCTGTACAAGATACCCTCTGGTAAACTAACATAACTATGGAAAATCACCATTTTTAGTGGGAAAACTCACTATAACTGGCCATTTTCCATCGCTTTTTGTATGTTTACCAGAGGGTAACTCGGATACAGGCAAACCCTCCCGCGATTGACAGGTGTGGGCTTGCACTGGGATCAACCAGTTCCCCCCCGTTGAAGTTGGGCTAAACCTGGATGCTTGTTGGTATGTGGTTTATAGATGTTTTTTTACAGCATGTCGTGTAGCCTGCTGTTGTCTATGGATATATGGGCTATTTTCCGGTTGCAACGATAACAGTTAGTTTGGGCACAGTGACCTCATATCGTCAACATGGCTGGAAAATATGCCCCACCAGGTTCTTCAAAGTGACCCTTTTAAGGTGGTTAAGTGACCCTTTTGGGGTTTAAGCGACCTCGAATTGGTGGTTGAAAAGGTCACTTTGAAGAACTAGCAGGTTACATATGATTTTCCCATTCAAGGGAAACCTTCCCAGAATCACCGAAGGTGTCAAAGTTTTTGCATCACAATACCATTGTCCTAGATGTCTGGCCCACGTTTTGAGTTCTGTTTGCTGACAAGAGACGCTAGCTGAAAACAGAGACATAGACATTCAATGAAGATCATAGAAATATCAAATACAAAAGGATCCCGCTATATCCCACTTATAGTTTCTCATTTTGCAGTTTGTGTTTGCCTCCAAGGACCTACAGGACTGGGGATCTGGGGATGTCATAGAAAAATGGAGATCTCACCAGAAAAGTATTCAAAGCAGCAACAGATTGGATAGCCTCCAGTCAACTAATACATTTATAATATAAACTATCATGATATAATATATATATATATAATCATATATGTAGCTATAGAAAATTCCCCCATTTTTGGATGTCCTAGGATTTCCATAGCTCTCTTAGTTTCCCCGAAGATTTTTGTCGGAGCCTTCGCTTCTCCCAGGAATGGAGCTTCCTTTGGGAGAATCCCGTGGCAGAGGAGCCGAAGAGGAGCCGTCAGCATCATCTGGAGCTCTACGAGTCATTAACGTGGTTGGTGGTTTGGAACATGGCTTTTATGACTTTCCAGAAACAGTTGGGAATAATCATCATCCCAACTGACTTTCACTCCATCATTTTTCAGAGGGGTAGGTATACCACCAACCAGATTAACGTTTGACCACTGTTGATTCTTGATTGGTTCATGGAGGTTATGAACCTGGTATCTTGGGGATTATGAACTACCCCTATCAGCTTTTCACAGAATCCCTATTACCAGATGGGGCAACGGTTGGGTATGCTTCATGGCTCATGAAGTGCGGTTTGGTCAGACCACCATGGAAATATATGGAGAATGATCATGGCCATGCCATGGCACAAGGTTTTCCCAGACCCCATGAACCCTGCCACCCATTGTATTCCCATATTCTTGTTGGTGAAATCCCAATATAGCGGGACTATCATCATTCCTTGCAGGCCATAGGGGGGAGCCACATGGGAAGGAACCTTGGCAACGCAAGAACCGTGGTGCCATGACTGGCTCAATGAAACCCAAGCAGCGCACATTTTTTTGATGTTGCCACGATTGGTCAACTTCGCAGAGGCCGTGCTGAAGGTGGCAATGAAAACAAAGACGACAAAGACTCTGAAGGCAAAGTCATCGATGAAGGCTTCAAAGAAGGTTCCTGCAAAGAAAGATCAGGAAAGCCAGAAAAGAAAGGCCATGAAAGCAATGAAGGCCACCAGGTCATCAGAGTCGACAAAGCAGGGAGCCAAGGTCAAGATGATAAAAAAACCATCTGCCAAGACACCTTCAAAGACCAAGGTGCCCCAACGATCGGCTCAGGCTGCAAGAACAGTGGCCTCCGACATTATCTTGGCACCGGATTTGAGGAGCTTCAAGAAGGCTGTGAAGCAACTCTCAGATGTCAACATACTTCAAGAAAAATATGGTGAGTTTATCTTGTCCTACGCTTCAGATCGCCAAATAAGGAAGTTGGAAATTTTACTGACCGCTGGTTTGAATGCTAATATGCCTGGATTATTGCGGAGATGCGTTCTTCTGGGCGCTAGTGCATGTGTGAAACTTCTCCTAGAACATGGAGCTGATCCGCTTGTGGGGGATCCCACACACTATCCCAATGTGTTTTTCATGTTTGAACTTTGTGCGCATCCCTGCTTGGAGGGTTACGAACTGGAACAAGCACAGGCAGTGCTGCTTGAGCTGAAGAAGTTCCTTTTCAGAAGTCCCAGGTATGCAGCAAGAGCTTCAGAGCTATGGAGAGATGCCATTGAACACATGAATGATGCGTATGTGCATCACTTTGATCGTCAAGATCGTAAAGGCCGCATTTGGTACAAGAAATGGCTCAGGGACAACCTTCTGCAATTCGTGGATGCAGGCTATCGCGTTTCTCCTTGAGAAAAAGCGGATGAAAAGAGCTGTCCTGAAACAGTGTTTCTGTGCTCATGCTGATTCTTTGTTTCCCCACCTGCCAGGTGAGGGTTGTTAGATTTTATCTAAGTTGCCTGCTCCTCCTCCTCCTCCTCCTCTCCTCCTCCTCTCGTCGTCCTCCTCCTCTCGTTGTCCTCCTCCTCTCGTTGTCCTCCTCGTCTCGTTGTCCTCCTCGTCCTCCTGCTCAACTGCGACTCGCGATCCACAGTGTTCGCTGCCGGACCTCAGACCTCAACCACGACCATCCACGCCCAGTGTTCCCTGCCGGACCTCAACCACGACCATCCCCGCCCAGTGTTCCCTGCCGGACCTCAACCGCCAGTATCCACGCCAAGTGTTCCCTGCCGGACCTCAACCGCCAGTATCCACGCCAAGTGTTCCCTGCCGGACCTCATGTAGGAAGATATGGGACAAAGAATGTGCAGAAGAAAGTTAGAAAGAATGTCAGAAGATGCCAGATTGCCAGAAGATATGCCAGATAGAATGCCAAATAGAATGCCAGATAGAATGCCAGAAGATATGTCAGAATATATGCCAGAAGATATGCCAGATAGAATGCCAGATAATATGCCAGAAGATATGCCAGAGAATGCCAGAATGCCAGAAGATTTGCCAGATAGAATGCAGAAAATATGCCAGAAGATATGCCAGATAGAAATGCCAGAAGATATGCCAGAAGATATGTCAGAATGCCAGAAGATTTGCCAGATAGAATGCCAGAAGATAGGCCAGAAGATATGCCAGAACATATGCCAGAAGATATGTCAGGATATATGCCAGAAGATATGCCAGATGCATGCCAGATAATATGCCATAAGATTGCCGATAGAATGTCCAGATAGAATGCCAGCAGAGATTGCCAGATAGAATGCCAGAAGATATGCCAGATAGAATGTCAGATAGAATGCCCGAAGATATGTCAGATAAAATGCCATGAGATATGCCAGATAGAATGCCAGAAGATATGCCAGATAAAATGTTAGAAGAAATGCCAGATAGAATGCCAGATAAAATGTCAGATAGAATGCCAGAAGATATGCCAGATAGAATGCCAGAAGATTTGCCAGATAATATGCCAGAAGATATGCCAGATAGAATGCCAGAAGATATACCAGATAGAATGCCAGAAGATATGCCAGATATAAAAGAATGCCAGATAGAATGCCAGTAAGATTTGCCAGAACATAGGCCCAGAAGTACGCCAGTAAATGCGAAGATCTGCCAGATGAATCCAGAATAAAAGTGCACAGAATGTTTTCCAGACTAGAATGGCATGAAAATTTGCAGAATAAATATGCCAGATAGACATGCCCCGCAAGAAATTCCAGAACATATGCCACGAAGATCATGCCAGGTCCAGAATGCCAAAGATATCGCCAGATGAATGCCAGAAGATATGCCAGATAGAATGCCAGAAGGTATGCCAGATAGAATGCCAGATAAAATGTCAGATAGAATGCCAGAAGATTTGCCAGTAACAACATGTATAAATGTCATGGTGGGGATCACGCGAAGTAAAGTATTTTTTTTCACTAGCCGGTCACTAGCCCTGATGATTCTTGTTTTAATCTATTGTTCTTTAATCTTTGGTGCAAAGATTCCACAATTATGTTATATTATGTTCACCAAAATTGTATAGGCATGATTGCCTTTTGAGACTCAAATCAACAACCTGCAGGCAGCAAGTAGCTGCACGGGTGGAAACATAATCCGTTTGGGGAACAAAGCCTGCCTTGGCATCAGCAAACAAAACAATGAGCCAAAGCATCCAGTTGGAGAAACGACATCGCCTATTTATATCTATTTATGGGTTTTATGCCAGGGCAACGTTGCCTTAATGTTGTGGGGAGTTCCTGTGGGGGAACCCCAAAATCGATGGTTTAGTTTAGGAAGGAACATCAAAAAACAACTGGATGATGTGGGGGTACCCGCATTTTAGATATTCCCATGATATTCCCATGAAAATCCTTCAATATGATGGCCAATGTTCGAGGATTCCTAAGTTTCGTGTGAGCAAAAACGTGACCAGGACGGCTTTGCCTATCCAAAGCGTGGCGGCGATCCTCAAAAGCGACCTGGACCAAGGTTGGGCCGAACATCTCGCTGTTGGGATGGGGTTCATCCAGCAGCGGATTTAGCTGTATCTACAAGTTTCGGAGCAAAGCCACATGGTGATTTAAAGCAAATGCTTGGAATTCACCACCCCAAAAATGTGCAACAAAGTATCGTTTGTTCACTATCAAACATTAGGGAAATCAATTTGATAGCTTGTCGTTTGATATGACTCTTTTGCCATGTTTATGGGAATCTGTAAACCTAACCAGCCTTTAACAGAGTCGAGTGGCATCCATGGGAGGCAAGTACATCCTCACCGGGAATCTCACCAGTAGCATTTTCGCGGACGATTGTCGCTTCGTGGACCCAAACAATGCGGTCACTGGACTGGCACAGTACAAGAAACTCGGCAGGCGCCATGGCTGTGCTGCTTGGTTGAACCACCTATGGCTATGGGAATAGCTCCAGGGCTTGCTGAATGTCCTGCTTTTTTACATTATCCAACAAAAAGATACAAAAAGTGTGCATAATAATATGGTATAATCTCCAACTGATACTTTCAGGTCATGTTCAAAATCCCCAAAACGGGACATTTGCCAGCCCTTGTATAATATTGTATAATTATATAGTGAATGATGATGTGGTTTTGGTGGTTTCCTATATGTTACAACCATTCAACCATCAAAAAAATGTGTGTTGATCTCCATTGAATAGCCTCTGGTAGCAAAAAGATGTGGCTTCCGGCCTTAGTTTACCATTCATGGTGCCTTTCCCATCCCCTTTTTTTCGATGTTTGACGCAATAGGATCGTCTCAAAAAGATCCCCTTGGATTCGGAAATCGCAACCAGAGCAAACCGGGGATCGGTATTGCTAGCGATTTTATTTAGATCCATAAAGATTCAAGGATGTTTGACAAAAACGTCGGACACCAATAATCTAACATAGTCGAACAATATTTTAAAAGGACAGAAGCCACATTGTGAAGGATCACCAGGATTCTGGAACACTCGCTGATTTTCCTTGGCCAAGACATAGCCTCAGATATTCCCAGCTGCCGACTGCCGACTCACAGATGTGCTCTGTGTACTCAGCGGTCTCTGGTGAGGAGATGTGTGTTGTGGATGACGAAGGCAAAACTGTAAAAGAAGTGAAAGAATTTTTGGCGACCCAGATTGGTGTCTCCAGATTTCGGCAGAGGTTTTGGTCTGAAGATTGGTCTCACGAAATGCAAGATGACGAGGTTTTTGCTGCCATGAAAGTCCATCTGATTGTGTTGAATTTGTTGCCACCAGAAGACGAAGAAAGCCAAAGAATGATTGCTGCATCCATGGACAATGATGTGGCCGCACTGGAAGCATTGCTTCAAGGTCCTCGCAATGTGATGGATGAAGATGGCCATGCTCCTTTGAAATCATGCCGCTGAACAAGGACACGTTGAAACCGTGGGATGGACACCGCTGCTTGTAGCAGCTGGGGAAGGTCATGTGGACTGTTAATTTGCTGCTGGAAGCTGGATGTGTCACTGATCTGGCCACTGTTGACCGTGGCATTCCACCCATGCATCTTGCAGCTCAAAATAGCCACGTCAAAGTCGTTGAGGCATTGATTGCGGCAGGGGCTGACAGGAACCAGGGCTCCTCCTGCATGGAAGCCACACCGTTGTACGTCGCAGCTCATCAAGGCCATGTCGAGGTGGTGCAGGTGTTGATCGAGGCTGGAGTTGACATGGACAAGGCCACAACTGATATAGGCGCAACACCTTTGTATATCGCGGCTAAGAAGGGCTATGTCGGAGTTGTGCGATTGCTAAGGGACGTTGGCGCGGACGTGCACAGAGCCTTATTCATCACGGAAGCAACACCGCTGTACGTTGCAGCTCGGCATGGCCACGTCAAAGTGGCGCGGTTGCTAATTGAGGCAGGTGCAAAGAAAGATGTCCAAGACACAGCTGAAGGGTACACGCCATTGACTCTAGCTGCTGCCAGCGGCCATTCGGCTTGTGCTAGCTTGTTGCTTGAAAGTGGAGCTGATGCCTTGCCACAGTTGATGGTGAAGCGCCCTTATACCTCGCAGCTCAGAACGGCCATGCCAAAGTTGTTGGTTTGCTGATTGAGGCTGGGGTAGACATCAACAAAGCCAAGCACTGCGGCCGAACACCATTGTTCATCGCAGCTATGCAAGGTCATTTGGAAGCTCTGACTCTTCTCATTGAGGCCAGGGCTGACTGCAACAAGGCCTGGAGCAAGGATGGAGCAACACCTTCGCAGGTCGCAGCTGGGATGGGACATGTTGATATTCTGCAAGTGCTGAAGGAAGCGGGCGGTGACCAAAATGAGGTCGGAAATGGTCGGACCTTCCCAGTGTTGTGTTTCAATGCTTTACGTGCAGCCATTGTTGATGCCTGATTTACTCGAACAAAGGTTTGTCCAAAAATGGAAGATGCATGGAGATAGGCCCAACATTTTCCAAAATTGCAATTTCAAATTCTCTTGAATGGGAAAACCATGACAATCAGATAGAACGACTGGATATGTTCCAATATTCAATGTAAACCCAAATATAAAATAATATAGACCATCCACAATATTGCCATAAATGGATAAACCATCCCCAAAAACCACAGTCACCAGCACAGCCACCCAGGAAAGCCTTGGAATTCCTCTTCGATCCAGAGGCCTTTTGTCAAACAACGGGTCCAGTTGATACCCCGAAACTTCGAAGAACAAAGCCCAAAGTTCTGTGGCTTAGTATGGTTAAATCATGTTAAATCAACATAACTACAACCGGATAAAATTGTTGTTTTTTTTTTTACTGGGACAGAATGGAACCAATTGTCGGAAAGGTGAGTATTGACTAGCCTAATTGGGATTTAACCAGCAAACAGCAATGGATTTAGCCTATGCAGAAAATTGTGCACATAGCCTGTAGTGGGTTAAATATGTGGGTTAAATCAACAATATCTAACGACTTCTAATGATTTTAATAGAGACTAATCTTGGGGATATATCGGATATATGATGAATGAATGATATGTGTATATAATATAATATTATATATATACATATAAATATGAATCAAAACGCGGATTCAACCAACTGGATGGATATTAGAATTAGACATTGCCAGCCGCCAGCTGAATTACAAACGGATATATTAAAAACGTTGATATGTTTGGTCCTAAGTCTTAAATTTGATGTTTTTTAATGGTTTTTCCATATACATGGAGCAAAGGGGGTATTATCCTCCAGTAGCTTAACATACTGACAATGACGATTTAGTTCAATGATTTACCTCTAAAAAATGGTGATTTTGCATGTGACTGATTGGTGGTTTGGAACATGAATTTTATTTTTCCATATATTGGGAATAAGCATCCCAAATGACTGTCATATTTTTCAGAGGGGTAGGTATACCACCATAATTGGTGAGTTTGGAGTCATCATTTTCAGGACCATCCCCTGCAGGCGAGTTTCTTGAAGCTTCAGAGCATCCAAGTGGAGAGTTCCTCAACGATTCGCGCCAGATATACGGCGGGTGGAACGCTGAAACTGCGCCTTGGAGTCGCCGGTACAGTTGGGGCCCTTTTTTGGGGCCCTGCAGATCTTGCGTTTACAAAAAAAAACATCAAACACGGTTATCAGTGATAAAACTAAAACAAATGGTGGTACAAACCAATATAAAATCAGCAATGTTGGTGATGTAATATGGATACAAAGGGGATGTAACATGATGTACAGAAACCAATCATTTGCTGTTTGTTTGTGACTGCGTGGGGGATTTACACATATTTACACCCAAATTCTTCAAATATTTTTTTGATAACCTGGTTGGTGGTTTGGAACCATGGAATTTTATGACTTTCCATATATTGGGAATAGTAACCCCAACCGACTAACTCCATCATTTTTCAGAGGGGTAGGTATACCACCAACCAGTAACTATTCCATGCAACTTGGAGATAGCTATCTTCAGAGAAAAAAAATATCTGAATCTCAAAATCCCCGGGATGCTTTCAGGCGGTGATTTCCCACGAATTCTCGTGGAAACCAGAAAACTTGGGCCTGGATGTGGTAGATGATGATGATTGTTACTATTTTTTATAAATGATGATTTGGAGGCGGAGAATGAGGATGAGGATAGGCATCTTGATGATCTTGATGATCTTGTACTGTATCAAGGAATTTTGCGTAACATGCATCACAGGGCCAAAAAAATTGACTTCCAGCAGCCAAGGGAACTACAGCCAAGGATTATTATTATCAATTATTGTTGTCACTATTCTGTTACCCTCTTGCATTCCGAGGCATGTTTGGAGTCCAGCAGTCAAATTCATGGAAATGCACTGATTTCTCGATCCATGGTTTGTTGCTCACATCGGATGTTGGCAACAGCACTCACAACTTGCACTCGTGCACAAGAAATGTTGATCTTGGATATGGGTCGGTTCATCCTTGGAACATCTGGAACCTAGTCTTGACCCACTCCCATGTTTGTTGGTTTAGTCCATTTCTATCACAATATATGTTCACAAAATGGCTATCTGGTTGGTGGGTTGGAACGTTTTTTATGTTTCCATATATTGGGAATAATAATCCTAGCTGACATTCATATTTTTCAGAGGGGTAGGTATACCACCAACCAGCTATCACATCATTTCTTCGTAAGTGAGGTTGTTATCCCATTTTCCCACCATGTCTGGCTGCCATGTTCTATCGGCAATCAGGCCTTGGCGCCCGAAAATCTCTGCCTGGTCACTTGTGCGATGATTTTTGCCAGTCTGGCCAGCTATGTTTCAACATGTTTCAACATTTGGCCATTTCTAAGTTGGTTATGTTTCAACATATGAAGTATTATAACATGATGCATTCAGAATGATTAATATTACATTTGATGATATTTGATGTATCTAAGTTTTCTAAGTTATGTTATGTGAGGATTTGTTTATCGGTTTGTGGCATTTCGGAAGCGGGATGGCCTCAGCCCCGTCATGTTTGTTGGTAAACCGCATGAAGTGTAGAAAAATATGAACCTAAACATCTAAACCATGTGTTTAAGCATAGTTAAGATGTTAAGCCATGTTTTTTTATTTTTCTGATACCAGTTATATAAGTTGAATCAGTATTCTAATTGTTGCCTTGGCGCACCAAAAATCCTTTGTGTCCTGGTCATGTCTGAGTGGTTTACATTGACTCCCCAGTAGATCACAACTTGACCATGAAAATAGCCAATGCTTAATGGACACATATGGAAACTCATCTTTCAAATTTTGATTTGGCAAGGTCTATGTTAGTTGGGATGGTAACATCAAAGATAAAGTGGAGGCAATTCCTGACCATGACGCGTGAAAATCTGGGTCACAACAAAAGAACTGGTGAGAGAACGATGTGGAAAAGATACTTTAGAATCACATGAATTGACAGAAAGCTGAAGGTTCAAAACACTTTCCAACAGTGGAAGCTTCGTGGGCAAGTGATATGGGAATCCAACCCAGGCCTATGAACCATCGTTTGGGGGCACCTTATCTCCGGCTGAGGTCGGGCAATATCGTTTACACGTTGAACAGTGACGCCTTGATTCAGTCACAGATGGACGAGTGGAACATCACGCGTTTCGATGCCATTCGTCAGACAAAGCTGTGCGCGGGTGGGTCGCCATGTTGGAAGGCAGCTGGCTATCCCAAACAAGAGGCCTTTTCCCCTAGGATGAAATATCACCCACACGAGATCTTGGTAATTGCATGAGATTTAATTACTCATTTTGGAGGCCCAGATGGGAAGTGCTAAGATCAACTCCAGGAGACGCGCAGCTGGAGATCGACTGAGATGCTGATGCTGTTTCGAAAATACCAGCTCGAGCCAAATCGACATTTCATCGCTTGATATTGGATTTGGATATCCTTTATCACATCCACCAAAATTAAAAAAATATCAGAAAATTGATGCAACGCTATCATTGTATGGCTTCCTTAAAGATGTCTCTCAATTCGCTAGTCACTTCGCTGGTCTCTGGGTGATGATCTTCAGGGATTCCATCGGCCGCGACGGAGAAGAAGCGCCAACGTCAGATGTGTGGGATTTGTGATGGAGATTGACCCATCAACATCCATCAACAACAGGGATTGAACTTGATTATGGATGGAATAATACGGAAAAATGATGAATGTTGTTGAACATTATGTTGTTATACAACAGGGATATACTTGATTTAAATCAATGAAAACGGAATAACATGGAATAACATGGAATACTATGGAAAAATGATGAATGCTGGATATGGGTGCGTCCTTATTGCGTCCTTAAACATGTGGTATCCCCGGTATCCCCCAGTTGCAATTCGCGAGTTGCTTCGTAGCTGGTGACTTACCATGTGTTGTAGTCTAGCAGATAGTATTTGTTATACTTACCATTTCTATCCATTTCTTTTATATATTTATATATATATAATATAAATGTGCTGGTTATTTCCCCAGATTGCTGTATTTAGCCACATAAGATGTGATTCACATTTTTTGCACGTCAACGACTGTTCTTTTCCCGTGTGCTGTTCACGGTGGATCCCCCATATGAATCCATATGGGATAACCATGTTCACAGCTCATCCTGACGCTTGCATGCGCTTCACATAGCGGTTTTGTCCAAATAGGGGTTTCCATAAATGGGGGTACCCAAAATGGATGGTTTATAGTGGAAAATCCTATTAAAATGGATGATTTGGGAGTACCCCATTTCAGGAAACCTCCAAATATATGTGATCTTCCCCTTTTTTGATCTCCAAAGTCGTTTCTTTTTACACTGATCCTCACTTCTTGGCATATCTCATACTCCCATATACTCCTGTAATATCTTGAGTTGTTAGACCCGATAAATCAGAATCGATCTTAGACCACCGGGAAGATCCCCCAGATGTTCTTCACAGCATAGAACATCAATTATACCCCCAGTTGAGGATTGAAAAGATGGACATTATGTGGTGGTTTCACATTAATTTCGCCCTAGGTCCTATGTATTTACAGTATATTATATATATATTATGTATATGTATACTGGTTGGTGGTTTGGAACATTTGTTATTTTTCCATGTATTGGGAATAATCATCCCAACTGACTAATATTTTTCAGAGGTGTTGAAACCACCAACCAGTATATCTACACATTATTATATACACCATCATATAGCAACCTCCAAAAAGACCGAAAAGTCATGTACCACGAATTCCGTAGAATCTGGGGCCCTTAAACGTTATCAGTTGCGATAAAAAGACCCCCATGACTATAGTTATAAGCAGCCTAAACCACGGGGGCCCCACCTTGGTGATAGAAACACTAAGTATATAATACATATATATATATATATATATATATCATATATCATATATACACATATTATATCATATCTAACTATAATGTTTTGTTTATTATATATTGTTCTATAGCATATTATAGCATATTATAGCATAGTGAATCCACTTATAAACCACCTGAAGTCATAAACCAACTGAAGCGATCTATGCTTGGTTGCAGGTCATTGAGGCGATGAGGCGTTTCACCTTCCCAGGTGTGCGGATTAAACAACGATATGACGAGATATTTACCCTCTGGTCTAATTGACAGTTTGGCCCTGAAAATATATAACCCATGTTTAGTGAACACGATTATTCCAAGCCCGAATGGCAGGGTCTATGTTAATTGGCCAGAGGGTAACAACAATGATAAACATTGGGATTTCAACAAAAAAGATAAAGTGTAGGTGAAAACTATTTTGTTGGTGGTTTCAAACATGTGTTATTTTCCATAATATATTTAATATGATTTTGTATGTCATCCTTCCCATTGACGAACTCCATCATTTTTCAAGATGGTTATTGCACCACCAACCAGCTATTCTATAGGTATGTAATGGGATATATTGATGTTTATTGCACGCAAATTGTGGGAGAAGATGACCTGAGGTGGGATTGAATGGATGTGAAGATCACGACTATGGCATAGGTGATGAAGAAGTTTCAGCTTACGGGAAAATCGTCATTGTTTAAGGTCAGTAAATCATCATGTTTATCAATAAACGAATATAAATTCGCCATAGCTGCCATAGCTTCCATAGCTATGTCGAATAACTAGGTGGTAGCCTGTAGCCATTGAGTTGGCGGAGGAGTTTCACGTATTGGATGGGGATTTACGCCCTGAGGGGTTGGATGTTTTGAAGATATCCTCCGGTAATCAAACTTGGCAATGAAAAAGTACCCTATAGTGTAAATTGGAGGTTTGAATCGGAAAAATCATCTTCAAGTAGTCAATGTTTTCATATGTCTTCCATGTTTGATTACCAGAGGGTAATGCTGCTTGAAGTGGCAATGTGCGGGTTCCAATTTGGACTTTGGGGGTGTGTTTACACAGGACGTACACTGCGAGCAGTTTGGAACTTCAAGGTTCCCCCACGGACCAGTCATTAAGAGGGGATGTTGAAACTGTGACCCATGGGTACCTTCAATTCTGACCCGTCCCCACATTATCCTATGTGTTGACGTATAAGCCCAACATTGTTGATGTGCAGAAAATTGCATTGCGAAATCCTGGTCGGAAGAATTGAATGGCCTTTGTCGCAATCCATCATGGATTGTAATAGTAGATAAACCATGTACATATTAATGTATAATATATACATACATACATACATACATACATGCATGCATGCATGCATGCATACATACACACATACATACATACATACATACATATATATATATATATGAGTTGACATGATTGAATGACATGCTGCTGAAGGATCAAGCCTCATGGGTTCTAGGTTGGGTTGTGCTCGTCGTGACCCGGGGAGCCATAGCTATACCTCCAGCCCGGTCCCGCACGAGGACTCATCACCTAGCTCAGCTGGAGCGCCTGAGGTGACCTCTCCTGCTGAGGTGACTCCTTCTTCGAGTGAGCCTGTGGTGGTGCCCACGCCTGCTGCCCCTGTTACCGCGGTCGACGAGGTCGTGCTGATTGTGGGCGGTGCTGAGTTGAGGCTGGTGGAAGCTGATCCACCGCCAGGTTCGTCTTGGGGCACACCTGACCTGCGGCTGTACGTGGTTTGGGTGATTCCTGGATATCGTAACCCCCGTGAATTTTGTGGATTACATTGGGGACAAGACCTTCTGGCCTATACTGGATTGCTCACACTGAACGGGCCTTATCATCTAGGAGGTCTTCGGTGGAGACGGGTCTAAAGCCTCACAGAAGGCGAAGAGACGTTTGCTGCTGAGGCTATCCGCCATCAGGTGGAACCTACGCCTGTGAGGCGTTTCAGATGGCAGTCCAACTAGGCCAGTCGGCCTACGTTCACCTCTCAGAAGAGTTCAACGCGCCTCGATGGCGAGAAGGCTTAGTAGTCAGCTCAAAGGGCAACTGGGCCAGGCTCGTGGTTCGGGCCAAAAACCAATCGGAGCTGATGGACGGACTTTGCAGCTTCCAGCACGAGGAGCATCATTTCTTCATCCTGGAGTGTCCAGTTGCTCACCTTCGAGCAGCCTGTGTCGAGAGGGTGCTCAAGCTGGAATGCGACACCTCAGGTCTGATGAGTCAAGGCCAAACCATCCTGTCAAGCGATCAGGAGCAGAACTTTGCCACGGCCTCCGATCCAGAAGTTCCCAAGGGTCGGAAGCCGGCTCGAGACAAAAGCAGCCAGAGTTCTTCAAGCTCGGATTCCGAGAATGCCGACCTACAAGGAGCTCTGGTACAGATTCAAAAGAACTGGCAAGGACGTGGTACAGAAAGAGACAAGCACGTCGCCAAGGACAAGTCTTTCCACAGCAGTGCCACCAAGAGATTCTCCATGCTCAGCAAGGACAAGCGAGATCGTTCCCGACAAGAGCAGGGCGATCCGGCGACAAGGGCCTTGAGCTCCTTAGATCTCGAAGGGGATCCTTTGAAGGCTCTTGTGACTCTGCAGCTTGCCCAACATCTTCAACGAGGACGTGGAGGCAGACGGAAGAAGAGCCTTCGAGATCACAGCTCGGCCAGCGACGAGAGCCACTCCTCGACCAGCAGAAGCTCGTCGTCATCAGATCGTCGACGTCGCCGAGGGGGCCATGCCAAAGCAGTCGAGAATTACCATGCAGCAAAGAAAAGGATGTTCAAGAAGCCACTTCATCACGTCCGCAAGTACGTGAGAGAGGTGGAGCACAACCTGGGCGCAAGCGATCGTCCTTTCAAGCTGTCCGAGGCGGGGAAGAAAGTGTCATGGGGAAAGCAGAAGAGCTTGCAAAGAGTCCACTACCTCATGTCAGAGACCTTGGAGATGCTGCTGAAGGGCAAAACAGAAAAAGCTTGCCTTCAACTTGTCCTCTCCCTGAGGGCAGTTCACCAGGCGGCGATCGACCAGGACTGGTCAGTGGCTTGGATGATCACCCACCTGGACGATCCATTTTCTCGTCCAAGGTGGGGTGGCGATGTGACAGAGCTGGCAAACGTGACTGCCTACCTTCGATCCATGGCCGAGTTGGAGAAATCGACCGAGAAGCTGAGATCCCAGAACGGCACCTCAGAGAACAGCCAGTCGACCGACAACCCAGGCCGTCGCAAGGGCAAGGGCAAGGGAAAGAGCAAGTCAAGCGAAGAAGCCAGCGCCGAAAAGGACAAGGCTTGAGCTCTGCAGGTCAGCAGCCAGTTCCGAAGTCTGCTGAGAAGCCATCGATTAATTCGCTACTCGATGAAGTCATCCGGAGTCATGGGTCTTTTGGTAGATTTCTTAGAGTTATGCATGATACAAAACCTCAAGAAGGTTCGGGGCCTAGGACACCTCCAGCAGGAGGACGTAGTTTGTTTCCGTCGTTCATGTTGGTGCCGGATGACTCCATCCGAACTTCAAGTGCTCGCATAAGGGCACGACGACGAGGCCGGGAGACCAGTTGGAAGTGGGCCGAAACGTTGTGGGCTTTGTTCACTTTTTTAGAAGGTGGTGCCCCTAGTAAGGTTTCTGACCAACTGGCGTTAGCCAATCGTGCCCGTGCATGCCAATGGAGTTCCAATCATGCACATTTCGCCGGCTTGCTGCAGCAGCAAATCCATGAGTTTGTTCGCCTCAGATCAGATGATGCTTTGAGTCGCGGCACTCAGAAATTAAGTGAATTCATTGAATCAATTAGGCCTAATAATTCATCATATAAGCCAGGTCCCTATTCCATAGATGAGTTGTGCCAGTCGGCCATGTCAGTGAAGCCGGAACGCATGTCACTTCCTGAGCAAGCGGGAGTGATAGATCCAAGGGATTTCCTTAAGGGTGATAATCTGGTAGCTTTTGAATGGATGCCTCAAGACACCCCTCATGATGTCCCCCCTGCTAAGCCTACCAAGGGTTGCTTCAAAGTTGAACCACAGGATCTTAAGGCAGTATATAAAAAGTTGGTGGATAGCGGGGTGGCCACACTCATTCCTGCTGCGCTTGCCCTTCGTGACCACGAAGGTAACATAGTTTCAGGTGGTCTCTTTGCCGTTCCGCACAAAGAGAAAACTGACAGGGTAATCCTAGATAGGAGACCTATGAATGAGCTTGAACGTCGAATGGTCATGGCAAAACTTCCCCATGGTTCTCTGTTTACCCAGCTAATCATTCCAAAAGGTTGTTCCATCCGTGCTTCAGGTGATGACCTCAGTAACTACTTCTACTTGCTCAAACATCACGAAGATTGGCTTGGTAGGAATACTGTGGGTAAACCGGTTTCTGGTTCTTTATTTCCTGAATATGGTTGTGATCCCAACCAGGATTATATGCTTAGCTTTCGAGTTATAGCCATGGGTGATTGTAATGCTGTGGATCTTGCACAGGAAACACACTTCCAGATCCTGCAAGACGCAGGCTGCCTTCGTGCGGATGAGACCATGGCTTTCAAATCTGTGTTGCCTGCAAGAGCTACATGGGAAGGCCTCTACATAGATGATCACATAGTCACACAGATAACCCCAAAGAAGAAGCTGAGAAACCCCAAAACCAAGTTCCGAGATGATGAGATAATCCAGCAGAGTAGAGCGAAATATGCCGAACTAGGGTTGCCGGTTTCAGAGAAGAAGCAATTCACTAAGATGGAGGACTTCACAGCTTGGGGCACTAAGGTTTCAAGCGCCTCTGGGAGAGTAGGGGCACCACAGTCCAAGCTGCGACAACTATGCCAGCTCCTCTTGGAAGTGTGCCAGTTGCCATTCGTCACAAAGAAACTCATGCAAAAAACCGTAGGTCTCATTGTGCATCCTGCCATGCATCGTCGTATCTTCATGAGTTTACTTCAGGATACCTACACATGGATTGAAAAATGTCATGTAGGAAAACGCCACAAGATGCCGACAGCTGTCAAAGAGGAGTTGCTTTGGATTGCCATGAGCTTGCCACTCATGCATGCAAATGCACGGTGGCCTGTCAGTTGCAGAGTTGCTGCCACTGACGCTTCGTCGACGGGTGGTGGACGTGCCGCCACTGCCACCACCAAATCCATAGCTCAAACTCTATATCGGTTCAGTGAGCATAGGGGTGAAGCTAGTAGACTAGATTGGTGTAACGGTCTGTTAGTTCCTCCTTCTGATATGGAACCCATCCCTGAAGAACTAGAAAAGTTGATGCTAGCACATGCATGGAGCACTACCCATAAATGCAAGTTCGGTCATAAACAACATATCAACATCTTAGAAATGAAGATGCTTAAGGCTGAGTTAAAAGAATTGATTGCGACATCTCTTGAACCTCAGAGATCAGTTGTCCTAGTGGATTCCAGGGTGGTTTGTGGAGCCTTCTCAAAAGGGCGCTCTTCCAGCCGTCAGCTCAACCGTATCCTACGTTCCATGGTAGGATGGATGGCAGTGGGTCACAAGAGCCTGCACCTTGTTTGGGTTCAGTCAAAAGCCAATCCCTCGGATTACCCTTCACGTAATAAGCCTATACCTGATCCTCAAGTTGATGATCCAATAATCGTACAAAGCCTAGGTAAGCCCATGCCCGAACTTCAAGTGAGAAAGTCAAATAAGTTGATCCGTAAGTTGGCTCTTCATGACCCAGCACCGGAACCCTCGCAGACCTCAGTTCCGTCCGAAGCTTGCCATCCGGCACAAAAGCACTGGACGTTCAAGGAAGTGTTTGCGGGAAAGGGTAGGTTGACAGCCGAGTTTAAGGCAAGAGGTAAGTTCTTGGTATCAAATCCAATAGAGCTAATCCAGAGGGGAAAACCCAATAAACACCATGATGTTCTTAATGACGTAACTTTCAACAGGTTGTGTGAACAAGCCAAGAAGCCGAGGCAATTTTGGCATTTTGGCCTACCCTGTTGCTCGTTCAGCATAATGCAGAACATGAATGGTGGCACTCGAACCTCTGAACATCCCGAGGGTTTAGGGGTCTTGGAACGAGAGCTAGTTGGCAATGAGTTACTTTATAGGACGGTCTACTTGTGCAAGCTTTTGGTTGCTCATGGGAATTTCTTTACCATTGAAAACCCCCATAGCTCATATGTTTGGCACATGAAGCAAATCAAGCACCTCATTGACTACTCTAGTGCCTCAGTAGTCGTTCTCGACCAGTGCGCTTATGGACTAATGATTCCTGATTCCCACAATAACCTTGGGTTAGCTAAGAAAGGAACAATCTTCATGGGTAACCTGCCAGGGTTGGAAAAGCTAGGCCGACGCTGCTCTCATGACCACCAGCATGTCCAGGTCATCGGGGGTGTGAAACATGAAGGGAAGTGGCACAAGCGCTCGACACTTGCCGGAGCATATCCAATCAAGTTGTGTCGAGCCTACCACTCGTGCTGCGAACGGCTTTTCGCCGTGTAGTATGCATGCATTAGGATAGGGATCTGTTGTCTTCAGTTTTTCCAATAGGCCTTGCACTGCATGATAGTTTTTTATATGAGCATTGTTCGCAACACACCTCACGTAGAGCAATGGATGGTCACCCTCTGCGGTTTGGCCGATATAGTGCCTCCTATAGAAAGCGCCTTTTGCAGGGCGCTGAGCTGGTTGGAGATTTCTTGAAGAAGAATGGTCTGACTTGGAAGCTCGTTCTGAAAGGACAGCCAGCTGAAGTAGATATCCTGTTGGACAACTTTTTGAGTCAGTACCATGCTATGCATTCACAGCAGCCCGGACGTCTCCAACTTGCCAAGCATGGCATCCTTTTTTGTCAAGTCAGTCGGCCGCAGTTGAGAAGCCAGCTTAAGCAAAGCTGGTCGACTTTGAAAGCCTGGGAAGAACAGATGCCTGGTAAACTCAGACCTCCTCTCCCTATCGCAGTCATGATGGGAATGCTATGTGAAGCCCGTATTCTAGCTGAACAGTGTAGCAATGAAAAGGATCGACAAAAATGGTTGGTCTTCAGTGCACTGGTTATGACTTCGTTTTTTGGTTTGCTAAGACCAGGTGAACTGCTGAATCTCAGACGTCGACATGTTGGATTGCCAAATCATGTTACCTTGGCCCTGCCTTGCGTGACCTTGTGCTTGGAGAAGCCAAAGAATTTCCGGCAGCTGGGATTGCGTCAGTTTGTTTCAATAAAGCACCCCTCAGCTTGCGAGTGGCTTAGTTGGACCTGCTCTCTACTCAAACAGCATGATGACAAACTTTGGCCTCACTCACATGCCGAGTTTCGTCGAATGTTCAAAGTGTGCACTCTTAAGATGAAAGTAGGTGACTGTCATTTTACACCGGCTTCTCTGCGAGCCAGCGGAGCCACTTTCCTTTTTGATGAAGAAGAAGACGTAGCCAGGCCAAGGTTGATTGGTCGCTGGTCCAACATCCAGTCACTGGAACACTATGTTCAAACCGGAAAATCACAACAGATGTTGCAATCCTTGTCCACCAGAGCTGTGAGACGTTTAGAACTTTTGCTCAAGCAAGGAGGTTTTTTGCTTGACCTTCCAGTAGCTGCTAGAAACAGTTTGCCCAAGGAACACATCTTGGACATTCCTCGTCTCGACCTGGATGAGCAGCTCTGGAAAGCTTGCCGAGGATGGGGCAGGACTCAAACAAAGATTTAAAAGAGCTGTTGTGGCAGGCGGAAAGCACAAGGGTGCTCGTTATACAGATCTTGCAGAAGCTGAAATTCGTCGTTGTGCCACTTCTTACAGGGGTGATCCTCGATTTGCTCAATACTGCAAGCAATGGGTGTCACTTCATTTGCTCTCTCCAGTTGAGGAGGCTTCAAGCAGTCAGATGGAAAAAGAGGGATGAAACCCGAAACAACCTCAGCCACTTGGAGCGCATGGGCATGGGACAAGTTGAAGAAAGCTGCTCTCTCCTTGAGAGCCTTTGCCAGGGGTCGCAAGCTCTTGGCATTCTTTTTCTTGCTCTCCTTGGTACTTTTGGTGAGCAGACCTTCTTTTGGAACTCTTTCTTCGAAACTGACTGTGCTGGTGATCCGTGGGGTCCTTCGACGTAGTTTGGGATTTTTAGCTTCAGTCATCGATGCAGTTTGGATGAAGCCATAGAGCAAGTGGAGTCCGCCTTGACTGGGCAACAACTGCCCCCGCCGCACCAGTTGGGCCAACCTAATGAGCCATATGTGCATCCACCTGTGCCAATCATTGAGAACACTTGGCACTGGATAGCTCATGTTTTCCTTGTGATCTGCACTTTCTATCGACGTGCCGTTCCTGCAGCTGCATAGCACCACGATGATCGGTCGCACGCTGCATGACAGTTTGGGTGAGTTGGGTCATAGCCAGATTTGCTTTAAGCATCCTTGGAATGTGATTCGAATCCAATTTCCTCGAAAGATCGTGTCAAACCATCGGCAAACCATCGAATATCGATGGCCGATTCACTTGTGATATACTCAGGAGTGCCCCGCATGAAAAAGAGGGCACGCAGAGCAGGAAGCAGCAAACAGAAATCATGAGTTGACATGATTGAATGACATGCTGCTGAAGGATCAAGCCTCACCACCTCCTCCTCTCCTCCTTCCCAGGGTCATAGCCAGATTTGCTTTAAGCATCCTTGGAATGTGATTCGAATCCAATTTCCTCGAAAGATCGTGTCAAACCATCGGCAAACCATCGAATATCGATGGCCGATTCACTTGTGATATACTCAGGAGTGCCCCGCATGAAAAAGAGGGCACGCAGAGCAGGAAGCAGCAAACAGAAATCATATATATATATATATGTTATATATGCGTGTATGTGTGTATTTTATATTGTATATATATATATATACATATGATATGTGGGGGTTTTCACAATCCATGAAAATACAATTGATATACAACTGATATGCATTGATATACGTCGATATAACAATATATATGTATATACATATATATATATATATATATATTATGTGTATATATATATATATACCATCTGGTTATTTAACATAGCCATGGAAAATCACCCTTGTTAATAGGTAAACCATCTATAAATGGGCCATTTTCCATGGGTTTGTTAAATAACCAGAGGGTATATATATATATATATTGATGTACCATAATCCATGGATAGTTAAATCATTCCATGTTGAAATAACAACTGTTCTTTCAGTCTTCCTTTGCCTCGTTTGGACCAACCACCAGGATACATTGGTTCCACGCGTATTCGACTGCGGCAAGTCGGGGAGCTCAACAATGGCTTGGTTGGAGGGAAAATGCAGAGGAAACCCCAGGAAACCGCTAGGAAAACCCTAGGATGGTTTTTATCCTTGAGTTATGTTTGTTTTGCGAAAGATCGAACGTTTTTCCGTGCAAGGTTGGGCAAAAGGGCGTGATTTCTTTCGAAAATGATGAACATGCCTGGTCGAAATCTTGATTCATACAGTACCAGCTAGGACGTGTTGTTCACAAAATTTGGCACACAGGAATAGGTCCGCATTATCTAATTCCTCACCAAGATCCCCAAAGCGGGCGCTTTCATACCAACAATGACTAGACTTGTGAGTGGATGATACACCTCAATTTTGTCCCATGAATTAGCAATGTTTACATCGTATGTTGGCCTATTGTTTACACATGTCTTCCAGAATTGGTAACAATTGCAGGAAATCCCGTTTTTGTTTGCAACAACCATGCTTTGTAAAATGTTCCATGAACAACCCAAGGGACCCATGTCGGACCGTCCTCCAGAAGACTGCAGACGGTCCATACTTCTACGTTTCCCCGGTTGGTCTTGATGGACTAACCAATTGATCCCCCTTCCTCTGGTTGATCTCACAGGTTGCTATGAAGAATTAGCCATGTGTAGATGATTTACCTTTGACATATAGCCATGTTCCATGGACATGTTAGCTTCCCAGAGGCTACTCGTACCCGTCCAAGAGGTGATGGAGTCCGCGGTTTGAAAAACCATGAAAACACGGGATGATTGGATGACTCAATATAATCAGAAACAATTATATACAAGTCATGAGGTTATGGATAGTTATGGTCAATTAACATCAATTAACCAGATGACAAAAAGCAATCGTTTTGGGATTGGTAAAAACCACCAAACAGACGATCACAACTCGTCACTGGGCCAAGTCCTAACCCCCCCAGAGACCTGTCGACTTTGCTCGCGCGGCTCGGAGAGTTTTTCGGGCACTGCCGGAGAGTTCAGAGCAAGACATGGTGACAGCAAAGAAGATCAATAGATCCAGTAAGATTGATTGAGATTGATTAAGATCTATTGATCAGTAGATGTTACAGATCAAGATGTAAGATTGATTGAGATTGTGACATCTAATGTGATTCAGAACTCTGCCTACATGTCATACATGCACGGTTCGTTTGACAAGAACTGTAAAAGAACATTCTGGTCTGGAACACTTCCTACGATCTGTCAGATACATTCCAAGGACGTGTCAGACTTGCACCTGTTTATTCTTTGCTTTGTTGCTTTGAGATGGTTAGTAGAACATGTTAGAACCTCATTATTGTGAGCTATTTCCTGTAATGATTGGTTTTAAAATCATATTCCAATCATTTCCAATCTCTTTGCATAGGTTACTCTTGTATTACGTGTTCACATTTTTTGAAGTTCGTTTGTGGACCTGCGAAAAATCATCTCACCATTGGCCGCCTGGGCAACTCAGAAGGACTGGCGGTCGGGTCGTAAGCAATAGCTGATGCTGTTTCAAAATCAACAGCTGGTTGGTGGTTTGGAACATGTTTTTTATTTGTCCATGCATTGGGAAGAATAATCCCAACTGACTAATATTTTTCAGAGGGGTTGAAACCACCAACCAGACAGAATCTCCACATCTCTGTCGTATCACAATTTCAAAGGCAAAGATGCTTCTGACTAGCGTTCGAAACACGCGCTGAGACTTTTTTTTGGAGTGGTTTACGCGGAATATTTCAGATCCTAGAAGTATGGACAAATTTCACCGTTAATATCTCAGTTGTTTTTTTGAGTTGTGGGCGACTGTGGTTTTCTAGCTGCTGTTTTGGTCATTTAGGTGCATTTTCTTTAGCTTTTCACCTTTCACATTCTTTCACCTTACAGTAGGTTTCCAACTTCTCAGCTTTCTTTTGTGGGTCGTTATATATGGAAAACTATGGAAAACTTAGGTCGGAGAAGCCTCCGACGTTAGCCTCCTCTTTCTTTTCCGCAGGCTGCGGCACCAGTCCATGGTGACTGGGCAATGAATTCAATGGGAAATGATGGAACATGAAAATTTCATGGGATTTAATGATGATTAGTGAATGATTAATGATGATTAACGGATATTAATGATGGTTAATGCTGATTAATGATGGATTTAATGCTGGTTACCATTGATACTTGTGGTTTCTAATGATTCATTCATGGGAATCTCCGGGAATGAAACCTGGTGAAAGGGACCAGCGGACAGCACAGTGAATCGTCTCAAGATTTGGGTCTTTTTGATCGGATGAAAGGAAGATGATGGACAATGTGAATCTAAGATCTATTGAGTTCTAATTGAGTTCTAATGATATTGAATCAGAGTCTCTCATAGTCTCTCCAAAAAGATACACAAGTAATTTACAACTATTTCACTTTGATTTGACGTATCTATCTTCTTGGAGGTCACTAAAACTGGTAATTGTCTGTGGTGGGATTTTAAACGTTGATATGATGAGCCCAGCCATCACTGGGATGTCACTGGAATGATGGACTTGTAATGGTAAACTATCCCAAATGGACTTCTATACATACTGGTAAATCTATATATGTGTTCTAGATTTATGCGTGGTCATATGTGTATCATGTGTACGCAGATATAAATCTTTGATCATCCTGGAGTAGATGGAATAGGGAATATTCCCAATAATCATCATAAAAATTGGAATATCTTTCAAAATTCCATATTATAATATATCTATTTCAGGATGAAGATACATATGATATCATATAATATCATATAATATCATATAATATCATATAATATCATATAATATCATATAATATCATATATAATAGATATGGCATATATGGTACCTCCCCATGGGGATGTTTCTGGATCCCAGGCTATGTTAGACTCCAGCCCCACGGGCGAAGATTCCAAGTTCTGCGTGGTCCTGGGCGCGCAGTGCCTCAGTCGCGTCGTGTCAAGCGTCAAGCGTCGCGTTTCATGACGTGGGAACGTTCAGCAACAACAATGTGGTGCTTTGTATACGTATTGTATGTAATATGTATAAATATACAATATGATATGTATTTACAATATATACAATATGATATGTTTATAATATGTTTACATGTATAATATGTAAATACAATATATATATATATGTATTATATATATATGTATTATATATATGTATTATATTTATGTATTATATATATATATATTGTATATTTCGTGTATGATATACACATGTATATACAAATTTTAACATGTTTATATATTATACATATATGGGAGTTAATCAAAGTTATGGGACTATAACTAATGAAGAGTCGGATGCAAAAGTGATGGGATACCCGGCCTGGTAAACTAACAGTTTGCTATGGAAAATAACCATCTTTAATGGGCCATGTTCAATAGCTATGTTAGTCATTACCAGAGGGTATAGCAAATATATGCAAATATTGTAAGATAAACAAGAATTTAAGTGAGCCTTAGCTGGGCGATTAACCAGCCAAACTGGGGATCCAATCTGCCCTGGGAATACAACTGAAAAGATGAGGAGTTCAGTTTCTGTAGGGCATGGTACAATGATGAAACTAAATAAACTAAATATGTTGATCGAGTTGCAACTATATGGCTGTGTCTCTAATTTGGGTTATACCTCCAAAATGGCCATTTTGCTAGGACAAATGCTTGAGTTCACCGGTAGATTTTGGTGTGTTCTTGTCATTTTGCTCTACCAAAACCCATGTATCGATATTTCTGAGGGTCGACCAATCCGAGTTCATTGGGGGAGTTCGGGTCCAAGTTTCTGGCCCGAAACCCATCGGAAGTGACGCCACATCTTGCGAGAAGTTGTGACACTCATGCAGGGCACCCGAATGAACTTTCCACATGAATGTATAGCAGGCATCAGGGCTAGTTCGAAGTCATAACGCGGCTGAAGAAGAAGAGCTGGACTTCGAACGGGAAAGTGAATCAGAGTTTAAGTGCTGAAAACGCTCTGTGGCCTAAATTGTCGGGGCTTAACTTGTAATTGTAGACTTAAGTATAGCAAACATATGCAAAAATACATGTTTGGATTTTTTTTGAACACATAAATACTGGGTAAGTTTTTGAACTGGGGGTGTACTCCCAGTCACTCAATTACAACCACAGCAATGAAGTCACACCGAAATTGTTGGTTGATCACAACTCTTGTGCCCCAATTTATGGGTCGGTGAAGAAACCACCCATTTGGAAATTGTGAAAAAAACACCTATTTATGGCGATGACTGGGGGATGGTTTATGACATTGTTTAAACCACATTACTTAATCATCCAAAAGTTGTGGTCTCCACGTTTTTCAATTCTGATCCCTACCTACAAGTGGATTACATCGCTATACACAACTCAATGTTCATCTTATTCTTGGAGATAGATTTGGCACATCAGACCCACAAAAATCTAAACTCAGCATGTCATCTCACCAAACCAGCAACTTCAGCTTCAGATTAGACATCAGATTACTGATTCTATCCCTAGAAACTGATTATCAAACATCATAAATTGCGGATTATATCGCCATCAGATTACTGATCATATCATATATTATCATGTTATATCCCCATGTTATCCCCATGGCTGCTTTTTCCCCCGAAGTTTCGAAAAATTGACGCCTCAGGTGGGGAGATGAGGGAGCCTTTGCAGCATGAAAATAATGTAACCATCAACCATCAGGTGTTTGCTGATGGGTTTTATATGGGTTCTTCGCATGTGATACCCAGTAAAAATCCACAACCACCGATAGGATACTGTAGTTACTTAGTTTTCATGGAGTTTTTGGTGAAGAACCCATCAACCCATGTGTTTGATGGGAAATTCGGTTAAATCCCAGTTTGAAGCCATACGTGATGGTCAGTTGATGGGTTGATACTAAATCTGCCAAATTATCAATATTTAACATGTTTAACCCATAATAATTGTGTTTAGTTGATGGTAGCTTTTGTTGGGTTTCCACTAAGTGGTTACATGATGTCATATAAATGGGGACTCTGGAGTCCTTTAAAAATAGGAGCCCCCCTAGCCAGCGGGGGTGACAGCAGGTGAACGCCAGGGTCCAGTTTCATTGATTTGAAGCATCCCAATGTCCATCAACCACACAATATTGCCATAACATGGTTGGTTTAGTGCACTCCCCTATAAGTTGCTTGAGGCTCCCCAGTTATAAGATGCAATAAATTGGTTCGATAATGTTCAATATATCTATCTACAGGCCAAGTTGTTGCAGTTATGTTCACTAACTTTGCTAACTATGGGAACAACCCGATATTATTGTTAGTTATATCACCAGTATATCCCATTGTTTATTGGTTAACAAATCCCTATTTTGCTCAAACTGAGGTATAATTCCCATATATATATATCATATATCCCATACAAATCTCACATATAATCCCATGTTTGTTGGTTTATATCCCCAGCTCTGTTGCTGAAAAACTCTTAGGTAAAGGGAAGTTGGTGGACATTTTGGCACAGAACGTTCAGCTCTGTGCGCGCTTCAACGGGGGTGCCAATGCGGGGCATACCTTGACGCTTGATGCAAAATGGGGGAGAGGGGCACGGGTTGAGGGTTTCCCCGAAACGGTCGGTATGGTTCCAAAAAGCACGGTACAAAATGTCGAGTCCAAGATGGATATGGGAACGGCCAAACATTGCTTAAGGCTTAAGGACTTCAAAAACCACAGATTGACTGGTGATGCTTAGCACTAGCATCTCATTCTTTTTTGAGTACCCCATACCCCATGGTACCCCCATTTTGACCATTTTTGACCCACTCCGGGAATGCTGAGATTTGGGAACAGGAGATGCTCAAACCAATGTCACCCGGGGACCCGGCGTTCATATGCCGTATTGAATATCAAAGGGGTAGCTACAAAATCTCTCGAATATCTCATAGAGTTATACCATGCCATACCACAGTCACCATTCGCCATTCCTAACGTGAGAATTCATTCCTAACAAGGGATTTGGCTGCAAGCAGTTTCATGGGTTTACTATTAGCCATTCTCTCTCGTCCTTTTTGTGATGGATGTCACGACTAGTTCCATTGGTATTTGGTCCATTTTTGGGTTTGCAGGCCGATTCTGCACTGAATTATCGTCCATTGGTTTACTTTGTTTATAATCCAGTTTTATTTTGTGCTAGAACTGTGTCGAAGATTCGCCATCCACATTGCATCATCCAGCTTGTGATTAGCTAGTTGATATTTCGGCACAAAAAAACAAAAAAACATCAAAAAGCCAGAAGTGATGTGATGTGACCATATTCAACATGTTAAATATTGTTAAATGTTAAATGACATGATTTGAGATGACTCAGCTGCCGTGGATTGGTCGTCCATATTTTGTTGGATAGCTCCATGGCATCTCCAGTTGCACATGCTGAGGGTGGTCGAAGGCAAGAAGTCACTTGGCAGGTCACGTCAGGTCTTCCCATGAAAAGTATGACATTAGCCAAAGATATCAAAGGGAATTAGGCCATATTTTCTGGGGATATTCCCCGAAATTCAGGCCTGAAAAATCTATAGGCCCAAAATATCTGGAATCGGTACCTCCAATCGTTCTCGGTTCCTGGAATGACCATTGAAAGATACATGGGATGGATGGAGACCTTAAGAAACTTGGGGCTTCAGTGGTTTCACCATGTTTCACCGTAACAGCTGTCTCTTTGCATGGATGGAGAGATGGTGCGACTGTGGAGGGTACAGACTTTCACTGCGACTTGTAGGGTATCATAAGTATTCATAAGTTGCAGAATGTTTACCCCATGAATCAACCAGCCAAACAACTTCATAGATAGGGTCGTTGGAAATTGCTTGAATAGGTCTAAATCATTCTAAACCGATTTGCGGCAGTAGAACGCTTGCAAGGTTTGGATCCGTGTCTGGGAATGTCATCGCATATCTAGGACTTGTGCTATATTGGTACGCTCAAAGGAAATATGGAACCCAAGAATTGCCAAATGCATCATATTCGATCCTTCGATATTTGCCTTCCCAATGGAGTTGAACGTCGGGCAAGATACTGTGTTTGGTGACCATGTATGTCAAGATTGGGAATGTTCAGTCCACAGTCGCAGCTTCATATTTTTCTAGATGGACTAGATCGTCATACACAAATCGATATTTGTCTGGTTTGTGGTTTGGAACATTTTTTATTTTTCCATATATTGGGAAATAGTGATCCCAACTGACTAATATTTTTCGGAGGCGTAGGTATGCCACCAACCAGAATCGGTATTGATTGTTGGCAGTTCGGTCTTCCATGTTTTCCACTTGATCAACGAAGCACCAAGGTTTGCATTTCACCTCTTGCCGTGCGGGATGATCAACAAGGCTGGCCCATTTTTCCATATGTTGCTCAAGTTTTCACAGGATGGTATGGATGGTATGGAGACTTCAACCGAAAAAAAAAAAACATATTTAATTCTCGCAGGGATTAACCTAGCATTCTGATTTCACATACCACCTCATGTCATTCCATCCCTTTCTTATACTAAAAAAGGGATTAAAACAGCAACAAGTGGGTATAGGGACGCTTACGGCTGGATGCTCATCCCCACGACATCCGAGGATTCAGGAAAGCGCGCAACGGGCCCCTCAGGTGTGTTCAACATTGACACCGCCAGCGGCTTCAAAAATCAAAACGAACACATTACATAATTATATACCCCAAACAAATGCATATGAAAAACACCGAAACATTATGAAACCTGAAACTTGATGACATTCGATGACAAAAAAACATCAATAATTAGGCAATTTCACCATGGGATAATTTGTTTGATGTTTGCTTCATTTGGTTCTTTGCTTCAGATCTTGGGGCGTTCATGGCAAAAATTGTTTGTCTTTAGGATTAGGGGAATCTCCCCTAAGGCATCCATATGTTAGCAAAATTCCTATGGGGGAATATCACCATAATATATATATAATATATATATAACTATAATAATATACTATAATATTATATATATTGCCATCATTCAAGGGAATTTAACTATAACAGATTGCCATTGTTTGCCTCGTTGAATGAATAATCGCCATTATGTTTGCCACTTCGTAGTCTTCAAGACGCTTCCATGTTCCTATCTCATTGTCCCCGATGAGAACTGCGCGCAGTTTCAGCTTGCTGCCATCCCTCAGTTTGATGCTTCACTCCGATTCAATCCCCATCGTTTCTTGGGAAAGAGGGTCCCCCTGATGTTTCTTGCTTCAATCATGTCCCGATGCCAAGCTGTTGCTAGCGAAATCTTGTCGAACATTACCATTCTTAGTGGCTCGAAGCCGAAGAGAGATATATATATATAATTATATATATATAATTATATATATATAATATATATATACAGTATATGTAACTCAGAAAATGTTTGAAATACTTAGTCTTGCTTCACCTCAGCCTGAGGGGTGTGCAAAACCTTCACTACCGGGGACGACCCTGTAGCGATACCCCTGCATGAGTCGCCGCAAAGTCAAGACAGACGCAGCGTTCACCCACTGGATCCCACGCCATGGAGGCTTGCAAGAACCTCATTGGCAACGGGGTGGTGGTTCACATTCCAACTCTCATGAAGGAGATTCAGGAGCGAGGCAGCGAGGGGTGATCCCGAACTTGCAGAAGATGTGTTGTTTTTCTTCCCCAAAAAGATTAGCCTCCAGTAATCAAATGTGGCCATGAAAACTAATAGATACATGGAGGACCATGGAGGCGGAAATGGAAAAATCCATCTATACATATAGTGGATGTTGCGTTGCCACGGTTGATTGCCGGAGTGTAAATCGACTACCATGGTTAATGGTGATGATCCCAGTCGCACTTTACCTTCTTTTTTTGCGGGATGCATGGTTCGGGACACCAAAGGGAGAATGGTACTACCCAGCTGATATTTTTGTAGGGGGTAGGGCATCCAAGCTTCACCCTGACTTGAGTAGCTGTGTTTTTGTCGCTGCCAATGGCCACAAGTCGCGATTTTTCTACCCAACCAGGCATCGGAGGTATTGTATCTGCAAGGTGAGGCGTCCTAGCGAAGTTGACGTAACTTGGTGAACCTTGGGGTTTATATAACCAACAAACACAACTGGGAGGGCCTGACTTTGAATCTCTATATCGTTTTTTTTTACTATAGTTTCCCCTAGAGAATGGAAACAAATATCGGAAGAAACATCACTCAATCTCCATTTAATACGTTTTCACCCATTATAAGGCCTCCAGTTAGTTCGATGTAACTTTCCCATTCATCAATAGCTGATCCCCTATAATATGCGAAAAACTGTGGGAACATCACTCAATGTTTATTTAGTTCGGGGATTTCCCAGCTAGCCATTCAGTTCGATGTAACTTTCCCATGGCATCGGAGGATAAATTCCTCCCAAAAAATGAAAAAAAAACATAAAAAACATGTGGAGCATTGTGGACCATCACTGAGAGTTTTTCTTTGACTTTCACTATTCCAGTCAATATCCCATGAAGATGTCCATTAAAAACACATGTAAAACCATATTATAAATCATTAAATCATTTATTTTCCCTCGTATTTCCCATATTTCCCATATATTTCCCGTGGTCTTCCCATGGTCTTCCCACGTTTTTTTCGGTGTTCCCTATGGCTTTTCTCCATCCACGCCAGGAGTTGAAGGATTTCGATGCCAGAGCCTTGGAGCGGATCTTCATCTCTACCCGTGGCCCGGCAGCGCCCTGTGATTCGTTCGTTCGTTCGTTCGTTCGTTCGTTTCATATGGGGGTTACGAAAAAATGAAAAAACAATGAAAATATAATAGATCTACTGCGATTCTAAGTGGATATGTATATATATATATACTATTCCCAAACCTTGAAGCAGGATTTCCACATTAAAAAAAAAAAAACTATTGTCTCCCACTGTTTTCTTGTAGATTTTCTCTTAAACCCAATCATTGAAGTTCCATAATGATGAATATATATATATATTATCAGATGAAGATAACATTATCTATATATATATATGATACATATATATATATATATCTTATATATATATATATATCATATATATACCATATATATATTTATACACCATATATATATATATATATCATATATATAATATCGTTTATATATATATATATATGTACATCATTTTGTAGATATTTGAACACCACCGTCATGCTGGTATTGGTTCCATCCCCCTCTCCGGTTCCCAAGGTGCCCATGTCTTATTCGATAGCCATCAGGCGGCGTCCTGGATCGGGACCATCCAAGTATCGATTGATATATCTGCCATAAACCCTACAAGGTGGTGCCCCCCAAGTTATAAGTTGGTTTATAATCCCATTAACTATAGATACATCACCTATAAACCATAGTTATTGGACTTATAAACCAACTTAGCTATCTAGGGGGCACCACCTTGTATCCGGGTTCTTTCAACCTACCTAGCAAACTGGAGTACAACAAGAAATGGGGAGAATTTCGGAGTTGTTGGCCTCCCACATGCCTCTGGTTGACAGGATATGCTAAGCCCTTACATGTGAATTGTGTGATGCGTACAATGCCCAAAGCCAATATATATATATATAATTATTTATATATATACACATACAATCACTAGAGTCAAAACCCTCGTACCCTGATCTTCACATCAAAATAGCTGGAGTTTACGGTTGTTCATCCCCAAAACATTGAAAGGAAATGAAAAAACATGGCAACAAACCTTGGTTTTGATCAATCCCCGCAATTGAAAGCGTTCACCAAACTGGACATTCCAAGATCCCAACTGATTCAGATGTCACATATTCCCAATGACAATACATGGGCACCCCGCAGTTCAGACACAGTGATATTGGAATTCATTGGTGAAATTCGGTGAAATTCCTATGTTTGATGGTTGAATCATGTGAAAAATTCCCATCTTCGCCTCTTTAATCCCTATCCTGCGCAGATCATCGATGGGATTTTGGAAGCGGAGCAGGCGCCCGGGGCGCCCGGCCGGTGCCGTGCGGAAAGACGCCAGCGGTGAAGCTGTCTTTCCAAGATATCAAATGATGTTGATGATAACATATGATACATATATCTATAATATGTGTATATATATAAATATGTACATATATATATATATACATTTATTAGATGTATATTAAACATACACATATTGATGATTACAATGACCATAGCAATACTAGTAACAATGATGAATATAAATACATTTGCTGTATAGATATGTAGCATACATAATTTGAGTGCATATGATGTAATGTATAATTGTAAAATATGACATGTATACATGTAATAATAGTTCAACTAGCTTTATATACTTCTTTTTTAATGATGCTAAACGCTGCAGGAGGAAATTGGTGCTGGATGTTGTTCCCATCCACTTGGACATGTCAAGGGATATGATTAGGGCATAACTCTCAAAATTTAATGATGGGAAGACCTGGAGTAGTTTTTGATAGTTGGGGCACGTTTAATAATTTGAGTTCTCAACCTGTGCTCCAAACCCCGCCCCCCATCAGAGCTGTCTTGTCCATCTCAGTGGTGCAGTGTAGCTACATGCTATATTATCCCCAGTGATGTAGATTATTCTTGTATCCCCCGCTATAACCGCTTAATTTAGATTGTGGTTATATAATGTTATATCCCAAATTAATATTAAAGTGTTAATATCCATGTATATCCCAGGTTATTGTTACATCCCATAGATTGCTATCTATTTATATTTGTTAAATGAATATAGATTTAGATTCTTCTTATATCCCCCACCATAACCAATTAGTTTGTATGTATATATATATACATAATTGTTATTTCTTCCGAAGTTATCATGTATATCTATTATGAAACCAACAGATATGGGTTATGTTTATATGTATAGTTGTTTTATTGGGAATGTCATCATCCCAACTGACTTTCATATTTTCAAAGGGTTTAAACCATTTAACAGATTTAGATGGATATTTTTGGGGTTTAGGACAACAACAACAACAACACCAACAACAACTACAACAACAACAGCAACAACACCAACAACAACAACAACTACTACTACTACTACAACAACAACCATCTTGCGTTATGTTTATATAGATAGTTCATTTTGTGTATGTATTATCCATATTTGTTGGTGTCGAAGTTTCTCGCCAGGGCACCAACTCGATCGGCACCACGAAGCGCGGCATTGGTCCTTGCTACTCCGCCAAAGCCATTCGAGCCCTGCCGCGTTTTCGTGGCGTTTTGTTGTTTTTTTGTTGGGATTTATATGGGAAACCATGGGAAACTATGGGAAACTATGGGAAACTATGGGAAAATGTAAGGGAAGTTAGGGATTCATACATTTCTCTACATATGTTGGAATATGTGGGATTTAAATGGGATTTGTATTGAAAATCATGGGAAATGGTGATTCCGATGGGATTCGTTTGGATGCATTGAAAAATCGATGACCTCATGTCGTTTTCCGTCACTTGAAGGGTCCCATTGCATTCGGAGGCTCATCCCCGAATGGGCTTAGTGAATCATGATCATTCAGCCAGATTCAAAAATAGGATTTCACCCATGAAGGAATTTCAGCCAATCATGGAAACATGGACAGAAAAAGCAACAGCAATGGGCTGAAGAGTGTTCTTGAAGTAGCGATTCTACCATCATTAGGATAGCTTAACCAATGAACAATGGTAAACTGGGAAGATAAACGAAGAATAAACTGGATAGAACCAATAAAACTTGATGTGCATGGGTGTGTCTGAAACTGGTTTTTAAGTTCGTTCGGTGGCCATTGTCGTGACATGAAGCAACGGACCAACGGATCTGGGTCAGTTGATGGACCCCATACATATTCCGGTAAGCCTTGAGCCTTGGATAGTTTAAGTCATTATTTGATTTACCCTCTGGTAAACTAACATAGCTATGGAAAATCCCCATGATTGATAGGTATATCAATTATAAATGGACCATTTTCAACAGCTATGTTAGTCATTACCAGAGGCTATTTCTTTGCCAAATGGGAATTGTAATATGTTAAAATAGAAAGCGTTGGAAAGCCCTGGAAACCCCCGGTTTCTGGCAGTAATACTCTGCATGTTTGGTTCATTGAATCCTCCACTGGTTGTTGGTGGTGGTTAATAGTGGTTAGTAACGCTTAGTAATGGTTGGTTGATGGATAATGTTTAATGATCTATAACTGGTTGGTGCTTTGGAACATCAATGGATTATGACTTTCCAGAAACAGTTGGGAAAGGGAATGGAATGTCATCATGCTGACTGGAACTATGGAATTTTGAATGACTGTCCAGAAACAGTTGGGAAAGGGAATGGAATGTCATCATCCCAACTGACGAACTCACTCCATGATTTTTCAGAGGGGTAGGTAGGTATACCACCAATATCATTCTTTCCAACTGGTTGACCTGCAGATGAGTTAATACGGCCCCAGGGTACACCGTTTGGTGAAAAAACCTGCAGTTTATCATCATTCTCCCCAATATGTTCAAAGATTTGGTCATTTTTAAGCGAGGTATATCCCACTATATCAACACCAAATGATATTCCACTATATCAACACTCAACACTATATTTTTTCCACAAGGCTCATAGTTGCTGTTCGCTGCGGCCTATGCATAGGAAGTCTCGACAATATGTATATATATATATTATTATCCCACTATATCCCCTATTTTCTATCCCCAGATTTGTAGCTTCCCATGGTATAAATTTCTTGACACGGCAGCGCTGAGGAAACGGTTTGCGTTTCGGAGATCTCTTGCACTTTGAGGTTTCTTGGGCGACAGATGCGGAGTTGGGGGCATGGTATATATATATATATCAGTTGGGGAATCTACTCCTGGGACTATTGAATCTATTTTTTGAAAATCTAAGAGCTATCAGGGCTATCTTTTTGCGCCCTGATCCCTGATCATGAAACCATGTCTGGATGGTAGTTTCAGGCATTCCCGACTTTTCTATGCCGATCAAAATGACGTGGATACTAGTGGAAACCTGAGCTCCGCTTGGAACATGAACTGCAGATAGTTGAATTAGCAGACCGCTTCATCCTATCCAATGCTAATTAGGATCTTGGTGCAATGACCCGTCGTTAGGATATGGAGGAAATAGGGACAATGGAGATTGAGCACCAAAGGTCAATGGCACACTGGAGATGCAGCTTTACTACAGCAACACTTTTGTTGTAGTTTACCTGGCTTTCACATTGCTTTCACATTATTTGGTTGATCCTGCCTGCAAAACATGCCTTGGCAGCCATATGGGAACTATGTCGATCAAGAACGAAATGAGGAAGTGCTCACGACCGGAAGGCACGAAGAAACTGCCTGGCTTGAATCTTTACAGCACGGCCATAACATGACGGTACAGTGTTTGACTCCACAGTTATGGCCCTTTAGCAGTTATAAGATGTTATATAAGTACTTATAACCCCATTTATAGAATGTATAATCCCATAGAAATAACCAGTTATAACTGATAAATGGCCATAACTGCACTCCAGCAAAAGTGCGAAAAGCTAGCGAGGACCTCAGGCCCGAGGTTGCATCTGGGCTGGCTGCCCTGGCTGCCCTGGCAAAAAAACGAAACCAGTGCAACCGCATGCAACCTACACATATTCATAATTGGATGATAATGGATGCGCACTGCAAACAAGAAAGTATATGTATGCATTTTATTGCTACCTATGGATCACGGATGAGGTGTGCACATAAATGTATAACATGCCTGCATTTTCGCATTTTGTGCAGGAACCTGTATACTTCTCATACCAGATAGTTCCAGATGTTTTCCAAGTGAGCCATGAAAAATATACCTATCCCATCTTATTGTACGTCGAGAGCTTTCCCTACCATGGGTTGATATAATCACCAATAAGCCAACATAACTCCCTAGAACCAATCAACAAGTCAACGAGGGTATTTGTTGAATGCCTCGGATTTATATCGTATAACATCGTATATGCCAGTATAACTCCCTCAAACCAATCAACAAGGATAGGTGTTGAATGGCTCAGATGTTTATCATATAAAATCGTGTATATATATAACTATATATATATTATAAATGTATATATATATAATTATTTATAATATGCATAGTGCATATATATATATATATATATCCAAAATAAGACGATTATATCATGTTATATCCCATTAAGGCCCACAAATGGGTGATATATTCCATCAACATTCCATTAAACAGATATATTTTCGTTGTTTATTTATGCCATGATATTCCCATGATAGCTCCATTCTATTGCCATGAACATGATTAAATCCCATCAACTATCCCAAGATAATTGTTGTTTTTTCCATATGTTCCATTGAAAATCGATATCATCGACATCATCATCCCCATTGATCGCTAAAACCCCACTGATGATAGTTAAATATACCCTCTGGTCATTCAACATAGCCATGGAAAATGGTCCATTTATAGATGGTTCACCTATTAAAAATGGTGATTTTCCATGGCTATGTTAAACAACCAGATGGTAGTTAATCCAGAATTTTGTTTTTCCCATTAAATCTAGTGGAAAAATCCAGAAATTGGTGATATATCCCATGAATCTTCCATGAAATCAGCTGAGATTATCCCCGTCGTTCGGCCCGAGGAGTTTGAACGTCGCTTGAGGGAGCTCATTGCCTGGTCGCAGCCCTTCGGTTCCGGACGGTTCCAAAGGTTAAGCCCTTGTTGGTTAGTAACACGTGGGATTTACCCACTGGGATCCCAAAGGTAAAACTAACAGTTAGCGAACTGGAAAATTGCCATAGAAATAGTTGATTTACCCATTACTAGCATGGTGCTGACTTTCCATAGTTATGTTAGTTTACCAGAGGGTGCCCAAGGGTAAAATCATAGAATTGGATGATGGGAAAATTTTAACCGGAAAGCCCGATCAATTTGATGGTAAAAACCCATGGGTTTCCGGTGAAGATTTCCCCTTAAACCAATCCATTGATAAAACTAACAGGAGGCTGTTTTTTTTTCTATACCCTCTGGTAAATTAACATAGACCCTGGCAGATAGGGGTTGGAAGACTAGTTTCCATTAAAAATTGGTGATTTTCAGGGTCTATGTTTATTTACCAGAGGGTATATATAATTCACTTCCAGTCTCAAGCTGAAAGATCTCGGAGATGCGCCACGAATTTTGCCACGGAAAAAGCAAAAAGGGGAAAGCCGTTCGGAACATGATGGGCAAATTCATGGTGTTTTTTCTACAACTATTTAGACGTCTACCCTAGGTAAATCCCTAGGGTCACCATCAAAGATTGGGTTTAAACATGTTTAAATATATATTATGGAGGATATGTATGTGTGTTATGATGTGTTTATGATGCTTGATTGGTTGTGAAATCGGGGAATTATTTAACCTACCTGGTTGATTGGTTGTCGTGGACTTGTCCCAAATCGAGGAACACAGCCGTGCCTATGGCGCTCCAAAACGTGTGAAGTGTGGAGTGTGAAGTGTGGTGGATGGGTCCTTGTATTACCCTCTGGTAATGACTAACATAGCTATTGAAAATTGCCATAGAAATAGTTGATTTTCCCATTAGAAATTGTGATTTTCCATAGTTGTGTTAGTTTACCAGAGGGTATATTATGCGTTCGGGTTCATGGATTCTATCAGGTTTTTCCAGATTCGGCAGATGGCAAGAAATGACGAGGACGGTCCTATAGGTGTTTTGGGTAAGAGGATGTAAGAGGCAGTCCCGTCCTCTTGGACGCCATGGAAACTGCCCAAACACCATACCCAGTGGGTCAACCCTTGAAGCCTCCGAGGAGAGAACAGAGGACCCCATGTCAATCTCTGATTCACAGCAGACAACTGAAAGCATCAGCTTTTGGATAATTTACCTCAAGCCCGAGGCGAGTCTAGTTTCTTGTTCTATATGGAATCCTAACACAAGTCCCAACCGTAGATGTGAATGATATGAGGATTTTGAGGGAATGGCATAGACATAGACCAGGGACTAGCTCGTCATTGCCAAACTTGCATATCACAACAGATGTTCGGACATGATGTTTTTCTATGTTTTTCTATGGATAATCAACCCCTATTCTGGGAACCGACATCCTTTGCTCAATTGGGATTCTAAGAGCAGATTAGAACCAATACAGCGCAAAGAATTGCAATCTGGGAACATCTGGGAACCATGTCCAGCATCCATCCTGGCCATCCTGGATTGCCGATGATTGCTGTCAGCCAGTTGCCCAAGAAATCGACTCAGGAAGCGGTTTGGTGACCCGCGTGAACGGGACCGGTTGCCTTGCAGGGCAGGAAACCGATGACTTGGGGATCCCCCATTGCAACCCCCATTTAAGGCAGCTCCGCGTTGATGTCACAGATTTCACCAGCTAAAGATGGGAAGCCACAGACATACATCAAATACGTTCACTCCATATTGGAGGTGATGCCAGATCATCATTTGTGGTGAGGTTGTGAAGAGGTCATTATGATATGATTTGCCGTCCGGTGATCATCGGAAAGACATGGGCAAGCGTTTTGATGTGTGTTGCTACTGTACAAGGTGGGGCCCCCTAGTAGTCCCTTGTTATAAGTTCGTTTATAACCCTATTATATAACTATAGTTCTATGTCCCATAGCTGTTGCAGTTATAAACCATCTTCGCTATCTAGATGGGCCCACCTTGTATTCTATACTATACATTTCTATACATATCTATACTATAAGTGGCCATAAATGCAGTAATGATAAGGAATCTACGAACCAGCTACCACCTAAAACCTAGCTGGTGCGGGCAATCATCTATATGGGTGTGTCTGAAAATGGTAAAATGGGCTATAGCAATGGTATACCCCGCAAATGACAACATTTTTAATGGGGACAATGATGGAGAATCAATTGAAAATTATGGAAAAGGATGGACAATGATGATAAACCATGATAAACCTGGAGGTGGTTTTCCCCTGGTTCTCCCATCATTGGCGATCCAGTCGCAGCCAGGACACACCCGCGCAGTTGCAGCTGCGGAAGGCCGGGTGGAAGGAGGTCAGATACTGTGGATGGATGATCCATGCATCATGGATATCGTTGGATGGTTGAAACCCTGTAAATAATGGAATAAACCACCTACCCTCTGGTAAACATTAACATAGCTATTGAACATGGTCATTTATAGTATTATATCATCTCTGGTTGGTGGTTTGGAACATGGCTTTTATGACTTTCCATAAATTGGGAATGTCATCATCCCAACTGACGAACTCATATTTTTCAGAGGGGTAGGTATACCACCAACCAGCTATAAATAATAGAATAAACCACCTATCTGCTGCAGGATTTCGCAAGCATCCACCGTACGATGGATATATGATATGAAGAAGAATTGATATTCACTAGTTCAAAGCCACCTGATGATTTTTTGACTTGCTAGGCCTTTGGCCCGAAAATCTATCCCTAAGAGTGCGGGTCGTTTTTGTAATTTTGATCCTCCATTTCGAACGAATCTTCTGTGACCAAGACATACCATCGCGCGATTGTAAGCTGCTTCAACCGCTTTGTTAAAACACTATCTATCTACCCTCTACCCTCCGGTAATCAAACATGGCAATGAAAAATCTAGCATTACCCTCTGGTAAGCTAACATGGCTATTGAAAATGGCCATAGAAATAGAAACATGGTGATTTTCCCATGGTTTTTTGTTAGTTTACTAGAGGGTACAGATGATGTTCCCATCCAGAAACTTCCATATTGATCGGGAAACTTTCCATTGGTGGTTGAATCCATAGATGTTTGTTTTGACTCACCATGATGATTCCCAAGGCCAATAAGGCTTTCTTGAAATGGCTGGTTCCCAAAAACAATTGAAGTTTCAATACATTTAAATGGTTGATCAGGTCATGATGCGGGGGTACCCCCATTTTAGGACACCTCGAAATGGGGATGTTACGGCTCCCATGATTCAAACATCTATAAGGGACCTGATCCATACCTGTTTTCTGAGCACCCATATAAGACATTATATGTGTATATATGTATAAAGGCATACATATGTGTATCTGTAGTCAGATTATTGCCATATAATATATATATATATACATATATATATATATATATATATTAGCCTCCGGTAATTCCATAGTTATTTAATATTTACATACATATATAATTCATATATCCCATTATTAATCCCATAGAAATTACTATATTATTATCCATCATATGATAGAAAAAAATCCCATGATTTTGCTGATCTTAACTTAGACCGCCTCTGGGCCTATAGGCCCTGAGGGAGTACAACACCAAGTTTGCCTTCGACCCCGAGGGTGGCAAGAAGGGCGGTGTTGCAAACGTCGACGAGGCCGTTATGGCTGGATCTTTGCAGTTATGGTCATGGCTATCAGCTATAACTGGTGATTTCTATGGGATGATGACATTCTATAAATGGGGTTATCATTAAATACTTATAACTGCTGAAGGGCCATAACTGCGGGGAATATATGGAGGTTTCTTAAAATGGTGGGTACCCTGAAAATATAATCCATTTGTTCATAGGATTTACCCCCAGTTATCATCCATTTTGTTCATAGGATTTTCCATGAAATAAACATAATAAACCGTCCAGCAATTGGGGGTACCCCCATTACCGCATGTCATTCTTTTGTGTCAGGCGGCTGGTCCAATTGTAAAACATGTCGCTACGTCGCTTTGGGATGCGGCTCCGCATACGGGAAGAAGACCCGAAAGAAGTGGGGCTTTGAGTCGTTTCAGAAATGGGTGAACAGCAGCACCTTACAAATACGGGGCTTATGATTTGGATGATACTCCATGGGAGAGTTTGCATCCGGGGTGCCTGAAGATCTCAGGGGAAAACGAACTAAACCCAGTGCCACAAAACTTCGTTGTCCAAAATGGGCGTGTCTGAAAATGTGATTAAATGTGGTTTATCATGGTAAACCCCAAGATAATCCTTTAAAATGGGATGATTACAATAATTTTCAAAAAATGGGGTTTTCCTTTAAAATGTGGTTTTCCATGATATACCCCATGACATACCCCAAGATAATCCTTTAAAATAAGGTTTATGGTAACCGACAGAATTATGGAAAAAAACAAAAACGTTCAACTTAGACAGGCGGCGCCTGCGTCCGATTTTTCCATAATTGGGTTTTTCCCCCATAAGGGTTCAAAATATCCCGGAAGTGATCCGAACCTTTTTTTTCCATAATTCTTGGAGGTGGCCATTATTTCCATAATTGATTTTTCCTGTAAAATCAGGGGGCTAGGGCAGATTGACCGGTTTTTCCATAATTATTCCCCACCTGCCAGGTGAGGGTTGTTAGATTTTATGTCAGTTGCCTCCTCCTCCTGCCTCGTCCTCCTCTCCTCCTCCTCCTCGTCCTCCTCGTCCTCCTCGTCCTCCTTGTCATCCTTGTCGTCCTTGTCCTCCTCGTCGTCCTCGTCGTCCTCGTCGTCCTCGTCCAACTGCGACCCGCGATCCACAGTGTTCTCTGCCGGACCTCAACCACGACCATCCACGCCCAGTGTTCCCTGCCGGACCTCAACCACGACCATCCACGCCCAGTGTTCCCTGCCGGACCTCAACCACGACCAGCCACGCCCAGTGTTCCCTGCCGGACCTCAACCACGACCAGCCACGCCCAGTGTTCCCTGCCGGACCTCAACCACGACCATCCACGCCCAGTGTTCCCTGCCGGACCTCAACCACGACCATCCACGCCCAGTGTTCCCTGCCGGACCTCAACCACGACCATCCACGCCCAGTGTTCCCTGCCGGACCTCAACCGCGAGTATCCACGCCAAAAATATGCCACATAGAGTGCCAGAAGATATGCCAGATAGAATGTTAGAAGATATGCTAGATAGAATGCCAGAAGGTATGCCAGATAGAATGCCAGATAGAATGTCAGCTAGAATGCCAGAAGATATGCCAGATAAAGTGCCAGAATGTTTGCCAGATTGAATGCCAGCAGATTTGCCAGATAATATGCCAGAAGATATGCTAGATAGAATGCCAGATGGAATGCCAGAAGATTTGCCAGATAATATGCCAGAAGATATGCCAGATAGAATGCCAGATGGAATGCCAGAAGATATGCCAGAACATATGCCAGAAGATATGCCAGAAGATATGCCAGAACATCTGCCAGAAGATATGCCAGAACATCTGCCAGAAGATATGCCAGAACATCTGCCAGAAGATATGCCAGGTAGAATGCCAGAAGATATGCCAGATAGAATGCCAGATCGAATGCCAGAAAATATGTCAGATAGAATGCCAGAAGATTTGCCAGTAACAAAATGTATAAATGTCATGGTGGGGATCACACGAAGTAAAGTAATTTTTTCCATAATATTTTTTTCCATAATTATTTTTTCCATAATTATTTTTTCCATAATTAATGTTTGGGGCTCCACCTGTTGGACATGTCATGGATCCACAATTCAAACCCCTTTTTTTGGGGGTTATATATGGAAATATGTATGCAAATGCAAGTATGTAGTATCAACCCAATTGGTGGCTTGGCAAAAGGATACATCCCGCATATGTATGTACGTACAACAATGAGTTTTGGTGGTGCAATTGTATATCAATGGAAGACTTAGGGGCATATACCAGATCTTTAGACACATATTTTCTATAATTCAATATTCCCCCTTAAAATGCATTCAAATTGCGAATCGATGGACATACAGTCACAGACAGAATTATGGAAAAAAAATAATTATGGAAAAAATAATTATGGAAAAAAAAAGGTTCGTAACTTTTCTATCATAGACAGGCGGCGCCTGTAAATTGAAACGTTTTTTTTTTCCATAATTCTGTCGGGTGCTGCAATCAAGCATTGGATTCTGAGTCGTACCTTATTTTCAGACAAACCATGACAAGTTCCCCATGATGGCACTGGGAGTACCCCAAGACTGATACACCTCGGCTGAAGGAGTTACTCTTCGGCAAAGAATTGCTTTGATATTAATGTCCCAAAGATCTGAGATTATGTATGTGTATATTCCATACTTGGTGGCTCATCCCACTTAGTAAGTGGGTTATAACCCCAGTTATAAGTGGATTAACCCTACTTATCCCATTTGTAACTGGGGTTATAACCCACTTACTAAGTGGGATGAGCCACCAAGTAGAACAATATGAAAACATATGAAAACCATGTCACAAGGCTTTTCCGCAACAATGACATGTGTTATAATGTTTCATACAAAGATACATATCCGTTATTGATATCTCCGCCTTTTCCTTTATAATCTACCAGATCAGAATTGTATGAGAATATTCTATCGAACATATACAGAATGGTATGAGCTGGTATGAGAATATTCTATCGAATATATACAGTATATACATGTCTAAATAATATTATATATAGAGAGAATTTGTTTCATATGACTTTCCGATCATGGAAACGCTGTCGAAGAGCAATGTCCTAGAAGAATTTGGCGATGTCGCACATCGAAGAGCAGAGCACGACATCTACCCTATATGGTAGTCAAACATGGCTAGCTGGGAAATCCCCGAACACGCGCGGACTTCGGTAATGGTTCATGCCACGGCGGTAGCAGTGGCAGTCAAACCAAGCGAGGGTCAGTGCGCATGTGGCACATGGACATGATAAGTGATTGCAAAAGTGTTGCGGGTCTCAGGTGGACGGCCAGGACAATTTGACAAAAGGGTTGCAAACCTTCAGCGTATCTCACACTAGAGCGAGAACTCAGTGAGGCCATAGAACTCTGCTGGCTGCAAGCAACAAAAAAACTGGAAATGGTCAAAACCTTGTAGTGTCAGAATGTGGGCATGGTGCCCGTCATGCCTGAATCCAAACCGCAGAACCACAAACAGATTGACACAAGGACGTGACGTAAGCAGTGGAAAATGCTCACCCGCAAAGTTCCTCAAAGCAGGACCAGCTTGCACTCATGAATGGCCACGCTCCAGGTCTCGCGACGTATTCAACTCCAAACTTGTTTGGCATAAGTCCAGTCTAGTGGCTGTACCAGCTGTACCAGGCATGGAGTTTGAACAAGCTGTTCCAAGGGATTTGTGTTCGACAAACGGCCATTGCAGGAACAGACTCAAGCAGCAAAGCACTGCATAACGTTGCAGACAAAAAGGTGAAAGTGCTCTGAGCACAACTTGTCATTGTATGACGCAGTTGCGGCGTCCAAACGAAAAGGCTAACGCCATTGTGATGGCAGAAGGCATCAAAGAAGTTCACGCCATGATTGAACCGAACCGAATCTCAACCTTCTCCCCAGCTCTACCACTGGTAGGAGTTGGGCCAAGAGCTGGAAATCCCCGTGCAAAACGGAGATTGATCGCTGGGAAATCCTTCAACTAAAGGAGAGTATTTTCCAGTGCCATGTTTGAGTACCATAGGGTACAAAGAAAACCCGTGAGCTCCTTATTAGATTATGCATGATTATGCAAATGTATACACATAGAAAATCTGCCAATTCACTAGATTACAACATGTTCACATCATATGTTCAATCCATGAGATGAGTTGACTAGATCATCATCCGTTGTGGCATTGTATTGTCTTCAACCAGACCATTTTTGGAGCCACCAAGGACTTGACTCAAACCATCTTATTCAGACATCCAAACTGTTCTGCTTAGCCGGAACCTGATCTCTTTTAGCTAGATGCAGCTAGTTGCATCCATTTGCCTGCAATTTCCATATTGCCTATGTTTTGACGGTGAATAAGCTGAGTCTCAATTGCTTAGCCGTTCAAGAGCTAATAGTCCTATATCAACCCGATCTCTTCGAGTTTCCCTCAAAAATTTGTAGTTGTTCCTTAGTCAAGAACTAATAATCAGTTTTTATATAATTAGTATATAATTAGTATATAATTAGTATATAATAATATACTATATATCAACCCTCAAGTCTGTGAACATCAACACCTGGTTTTCCCAGCAACTTCGCTCCAGGAAGTGGCGCGCTACCGTGAGTTCGCCCAGATCCTTCGGCATCAAATCGTGGACAGCGTGACGCTCATCCACGAGGACGCCCCATAAAATGGGAAGTGCCAAGGAGCTTTGATGACTGGATATGGATGGATATGGAACATGGTCACCTTAGATAGTTCATGATTGCTGGTATAGTAAGTTTAGCTATTAAAATGGTCATGTGAGACATGTTCCATAGATTTCCATAGTGCTGACTTCTCAGAGGCTAATAGTTTTGAGAACGCTAAGGCCATGGCCCTTTTCATCGAACCTCCATGGCCTGTTCCTATGATTTGATGGCCATGGCCGTGAGGGGTACAAATGGGTACAGTAAGTCACCCGTCTTTCAGACACACACCCGCAGCCAGTGACTTCAGTGACTTCAATGGTTAGATATCCCATGACATCCCTATGTTTCATGATGTTTCATGCTAAACCTCCCCCTATGTTGCCTGGTGAATGGAATTTAGATGTGAAGTTTCAGCCAAAGACTGCCACACATTTTGGCCGTTTTGGCCCACAGGACATCTCCCGCGGTTACAAGGCAGCCATGTTTCGGGCGGAGGGCGATGATGAGTTCAGCGTTAAAGATGATGCGCTGGAGATAGTTGATTATGTTGATTTGCACCAACTGGCAATCTAGGGGGACATGGGGTCCCCCTGTCCTTATCTCATCATGTGATGAGCCGCCTCCAAGCGGACATCATTTGCCGAAGTGGTAGAAATCATGTGGTTCCAAGGTGCCCCAAGAATTTACGGACAAAGTTCGGTCATCAGTTAACCCAACGGAGGTTCTGGTGGAAGGGGCCAATGCTGCCCTGCTGGACATTGACTTTGGCACCTATCCATTTGTCACTTGGTGAGCGTCGGGTTGCAGTTTGACAGACTGGGTATTTTTCAACCAGAGAAGTTATGGTCATGGTGGTTTTACCTGAATGAACATTTTAGAACCATAATTATCTCAACTTCGCCCCCAGGTTTGGGTCGAAATGACGGTTTAAAAGATAGGGCCACAATCCGTGAAGATTACAGCTCCATGGATTGGGCATAATGTTGGACTGATTTCTATGGGAGACGCATCAAAAAAAAATAAAAATGCATCAAAAAAAAATATAAATGCATCAAAAAAAATAAATGACCATACAGGAGGAAAGGAAGGAAGGAAGGAAGGAAGGAAGGAAGGACGGACGGAGGGAAGGAAGGAAGGAAGGAAGGAAGGAGGGAGGGAGGGAGGGAGGGAAGGAGGGAAGGAAGGAGGGAAGGAGGGAAGGAGGGAAGGAGGGAAGGAGGGAAGGAAGGAAGGAGGGAAGGAGGGAAGGAGGGAAGGAAGGAAGGAAGGAAGGAGGAAAGGAGGGAAGGAAGGAAGGAAGGAAGGAGGAAAGGAGGGAAGGAAGGAGGGAAGGAGGGAAGGAAGGAGGGAAGGAAGGAAGAAGGGAAGGAAGGAGGCAAGGAGGGAAGGAAGGAAGGAGGAAAAGAGGGGGGAGGGGAAGGAGGGAAGGAGGGAAGGAGGGAAGGAGGGGCCACACGGGCAGCGACTTACTATTTCTTTGTTTTTTCATAAGCATCATCCTTTCCTTGGGCTCATTTCAACTTTATTGATGTCCATCGAGACATGTGCCTATGTGCTTCTTTCTTGGTACGCATTGCGGGGGCGGGCGCTGCGCCCTCCCCCCTGCACCCCCCCACCCGCTTTTATTTTTTTAACCGGCTCCCATCTGTACCTACTATTCTTTTGCTTTTTCATAAGCATCATCCTTTCCTTGGGCTCATTTCAACTTTATTGATATCCATCGAGACATGTGCCTATGTGCTTCTTTCTTGGTACGCATTGCGGGGGGAGGCGCTGCGCCCTCCCCCCTGCTCCCCGCACCCGCTTTTATTTTTTTAACCGGCTCCCATCTGTACCTACTATTCTTTTGCTTTTTCATAAGCATCATCCTTTCCTTGGGCTCATTTCAACTTTATTGATATCCATCGAGACATGTGCCTATGTGCTTCTTTCTTGGTACGCATTGCGGGGGGAGGCGCTGCGCCCTCCCCCCTGCGCCCCCCACCCGCTTTTTTTTTATTAGCATTTCCTTTTTGACGACTACTACTACTGCGACGACGACTACTACTATCTCTATTACTATTACTATTGCTATTACTATTACTATTACTATTAATTACTATTACTATTGCTACTACTACTACTACTATTACTACTACTAACTACTGCTGCTGCTACTACTACTGCTACTGCTACTGCTACTACTACTGCTACTGCTACTGCTACCTCTGCGACTATTGTTATTCTTACGACGACAACCACATCTACTACTACTACTACTACTACAACAACTACTACTACTACTACCACAACTACCACTACTACTACCACTACTACTACCACTACTACTACCACTACTACTACCACTACTACTAGTACCACTACTAGTACCACTACTACCACTACTACTACGACCATTACAACCACTATTGCTGCTGCTGCTACTACTGCTACTGCTACTGCCACTGCTACTGCTAGTGCTACTGCTACTGCTGCTACTACTACTACTATTATTACTACTACTACTATTACTACTACTACTGCTACTACTACTACTACTGCTACTACAACTACTACTACTACTACTGCTGCTGCTGCTGCTACTGCTACTGCTACTGCCACTGCTACTGCTACTGCTACTGCTGCTACTACTACTACTATTACTACTACTACTACTACTCCTGCTGCTGCTGCTACTACTATATGTTTTTTTTGATACGGATATTTTTTTTGATCTAGGTTTGCAGCACGAGACTCAGGAGGTCTCACACAGTGGCATCTGGATATTTTTTTTGATGCATTTTTATTTTTTTTTGATGCGTGCTGGATTTTTTTTTGATGCATTTATATTTTTTTTTTGATACGTGTCTCGATTTCTATCATGGACACGATCGAACACACTTTCCCATGATTTACATTCCACCAGACATTCAGATGCTAAACGTTGGTTGGGTCTACTGCAATCTGCCAGGAATGGAGACCAAACCAGCATCATATCTTGTTGGATTTAGTTTGCATTGCAAAGGGCGAATTATCGACAAGCCAACACATCAGGTTGTTGGTCATATTCCGTAAAACGTCCCTGTTGTATACCCATGAAAATATCGCCATGATATCTCCATGTAGCCCATGTAGTTGTTGCTGTTTGCCTCCATTTTTCCACTATTCATTGGTGAAAAATCGGATGTTTCACGATGCTTGGACCAAAGAGGCCGTCACGGTTTGCCAAGGTCACGTCTTCCAACACCACCGTGGGCAGCGTGTGTACAGGCGCCGAGGGTGTGGATGGTGGCCTAGATCGAATTATGTTCTGTTACTGGATAGTGTACAGTGTAAAGATATATATACATACGTAATCATTGTAATTGATATATATATATAATTATAATTATATATATATAGCATTGCAGCATTTTATATGATTGACTTTACATATCTTTGTATCATGTTATATCTATCTTACATATTATATATGGTCTTTGATTATATGTCATGTATGTATTGTGCATCTATTTCTAAGTAATCTCCATATCAGTCATCCAAGTAGCACCGGCGCGTGTCGTGTTCAGGCCTGGGTGTGCCACCCAAACAGATCGACACGGTGATTGGTGTGGTGAAGGCCGCGCTGGGTGCTGGGAAGATCATCACCTGGTGATCACCTTTTTCACCAACCATGGGATAATATTTCCATATGCTCCATGTATCTGGGTAAATTATAACGACCTCACTGTGACCTCACTGGAATCATAGTTAGTAAGGGAAATCATCCCCAAATGGCCTTAATTCAGGTTAGTGAATTATTATTATTTACCCAGATGTATGGAATATGTATGCTCCATGTTCCCAAAAATTCACCTAAATCATCTCCTATCTCTACATGGAGCATCTGGGGTAAACAAGCGTCTTATGGGGAGAATGTGGACTTAAACATACTAAAAATGAGTTTTTGGGCAATATGAATGCAGTGATGTTAGCATCCCCCAAACTATGTTGGTTGGAGGGATTATAAAGGTCAATAAAATTGGCACCATTTTTAGACTTGCGCGCAAGCGTATTTTTCTGTGTATCGTTGAGTACGCCCATTTACATGCACTCAATGACAGAGATGATAAATAGTCAATATTCAGTCGTGTGAGTTCTACATTCACAAAACAAATGATACATGAAATTAAAACTCAATACAAATAAGAATGTGAATTTAAAAGTACATTTTATAGTACGTTTATATACATGTGTATACTGTTTGCGTAGCATATATATATACAATTATATACATTTGTTCATTATGATATACACAAATGATAAGAAAACTCAGTGGTTGGCGGCCAAATCATAGGCCTACACCACCCGAGTGGGCCATGGGCCATTTCCAACGGATCCTTGGCGCGTCAGAATGGGCTGATCCGTTGTGGGTTTTGGCCAAATGTGGAGACGCCATTTGGAAAATCAGTTGACCATGTGTAGATCCATTTATATCCAGGATTATTTATAGTTATATCTAGGATTTATAGTTATACTATGTTATAGTTGACCATTTATAGTTATAGTTCGATATTTGTATATCCAGTATCCAGGAATATAGTTTGATGAGTTTCCCACTCAAGCTCCATATGTTGATCGAAATTCATGTCCCGGCCATGAAGGAAAGACATGTCGAATGGTTGCAACGTCTTGGATACTTCCTTTGATTAATAGATATACTGAACTGATATTGATATACTCCCAATTATTCAACCGGATGGTTTAAAAGGATACCCTCTGGTAAACTAACGTAACTATGGAAAACCACCATTTTTAATGGGAAAATCCACTATAAATGGTCATTTTCAATAGCTATGTTAAATTACCAGAGGGTATTCCATCTTTGGATGCGAATTTTGGATCTCCGATGGACTTTCAGATTTTGGGCAGTTCATGCCACCCAATCCCAGTTTTTGATGTGTTTCCCAATAAAACTTCCATTTAACATTACCCTCTGGTAAACAAACATAACTATGGAAAATCACCATTTTAGTGGGTAAATCAACTATAAATGGGTCATTTTCAATAGCTATGTTAAATTACCAGAGGGTATGTAGTAAAGCATTACTGTGGGATTTCCCCATTGTCCGTTGAAGCCCCGCAGCGCGGCGGAAGCTTCTGAGGAACTCCAGAACGAGGCACAGAGTCTGCAGGACCTTCCATTGTGGTTGAAGGGAAATGGACGGTTCCCAAAATGTTGGAAGAAAACAACCATGGTTTCCAATTCAGACTTTCCAGCCAAGCCATTTAAATCATGTCAACATGGGTTTGCAAAAGCCAATTGTTGCACGTTTGGGGAAATTCTTCGGGAAGGTCTGTCTTGCAGGATCCCTCTGTGTCTAGTGAGGAATAGACCTGCCCATGGGGATGCTATTTAGAATGTCAACCCCGGATAAATAAACCATGGCCCATGAATGAGGGGGGTACTGGCCCAATAGTATCCAATAGTCATAATCTCATACTTGTAAATGGCAGCCCCCCAACTAAACAGCCTCATTCCACCCAAAAATCAAGGCCTTCCATGACTCACCATGAGTGGCAAAGGAGAATTTGTTGCTGATATGCCAAGGTATGTGCGCTTTTGTGATATCGTGTGTATGCATTCTTGTGCACATGTTCACAGAATGGGTAGGTATTGAAGCAATATATGTTTTTGATTGCTTTTGAATGGATCAAACACGGGCACCCAAGAAAAAATTACTTGCATGAGACCAATAGTGAATGCCCATCTGAGCAAATTGCCACTATGGACAGTTGAAACCCCATCTTGGTTGGTTAAACTTACATGGTGGTCAATTACAGGCGTTGCGAGCACTTGTGTAAAGGACTAGTTATATCATGTTATAATCAAACTAGAAAGCGACTATTGACACTTGCGACTATGGTCCAAAAATTGATGATCTTGCAGATAGCTGCGTTGCTGATGATCTCGGACTTGTTGAGCCATTTTGGGGTATTTTGGGGTCTGTGTTGACCTTTATCTTGGACTTGGGCCGTATGTCCATAGAGCTTTATCTAACATAATTTATTTCCACCGAAGTTCCACAGCATTTCTTAGTTTGTTGGTTGATTAGGGAAAGATATACTACCCTGTTTGTACTGAGGATTCTCAAAATTCATGAAGTGGGAGCCCCCCATAACAACCAGTTGTGCAATTGTCTATTATGTTCCATGTCAAAAGGATATTGAATATATTGTTTTTTACATTTACACATATGTATACTAGCATAAACAATTGCGATAATCCAAAACCCAGGAATTGGGGAATTATCATTGCAACAATCCCAATAGATTCAGATTTTGATGGATTTTTAAGATGTTCTCGCCACTGTTCATGTGCTGACTTTCAGGACCACATCGAGATGTACGTTGGACCCGCACAGTCCATGGAACGCAAGGTGGCCCCGGGCGGGTCCAGTCTTCGCAGATGTGCATCTCAGGCATCCTAAGTGGCTAAGCACATGAAACAAGGCCTTAGATTCGTGGGATATCCATTAAAAGAAAACCCAGTTGGAATATCCATTATAGCCATTATAGCCATTAATTGTGGTAACTTCTGGATATCCATTAGTGGGATTAGTGGCTTATTAACCACTAATATTTTTCGTTCCAAGTAGGAGTCAAATAGGATACCCCGAAGTCCACCGATATTCCATCATTCATCATGATTTTCGCCATTGAAATGGCGATTTTTGAGGTATCTCCCATTATCAGACCCCATTTTGAGGAACTTCAGCAAGAAAAATGGAGGTTGAACCAATATGAACCAATAAGAAAAGCGGGGTTAAGCAAGAAATGGGATGTAGTGTGACTGATATACTGACCAAGATGGGCATATGTCAAACAATAACGGAAAGTTAGCAACACTTTACGGACATTGAAACACATGAAGACGGAGTTTGAACCTGCACAAGTTATTTAATAACCAAAAATCATCAGGATAACTTATCAATGCTTTTTAGTGGGATCGGCAAACAGAAAGATTATGACCTTGGTTGCCACGATGTAATTAGTCCCCCACATTAGACAACTCTTTACAAGATGTTGTAAAGAGTGGAAACACAATCGTCAGACTGCGTATGTGTACAGAATGCCTGAGCATATACACCTGGAATCCATTTTTCACCCTGCGTTTGACGGGTAGATTGTAGCTTTGCAAAGAGGTGCTAGTTGTTTGGTTGGAAAAAGCTGGATCTTAAGCTCCAAATGATTTTCAGTTTTTTTTTGTTGGTTGGGGGCTGATAGCTTTTTTCAAATGTGATGAACATGTTTTTTTGGTGAAGTGATGTGCATGCCACCATTCAGATGGGAAAATAGATGGGGGGGTCCACCCATTACCATATCCCATGGTATTCCCGTGTGGGTGTCCAACTTTTCCCGGTGCCCCAAGGTACCATGGTATCCTTCCAGATAGCAAACATGACAATGCAAAAAGAAAAAAACACATGTTTGATGGGTCATGGTGATGGCCCATCCCCGATTTCAGCCTCTAAAATTGGAGGTTGATTCTTGGGTCCGCACCATTTGTATCCAGCAATCTGCAGAAATTCCCATCGCACCTCAGGTGAATCTCACCATGAATCATCGCAACGGGATGGTCCCACCTAATCTCCACAGGTGATGTTCCCTTTAGAATCAATATTCAGACATAGAGAGCAGCCCCAAAACGATGCAGGAAAGTAAAATCCCCATGGAATAGCCTTGAACTTTTGACCCACATTTGTATGGAGGTTACAATGCTCTTATCATCAACCGACTTACATTTAAAACAAAAAGCACACATAATTCACACAATTATCCCATTATTGTCCCAAGGTTACTATAGTTATCCCATGTATACCCTCTGGCAAACTAACCTAACTATGGAAATCACCATTTTGAAATTGGGTAAATCGTCGAAGTTAATGGCCCACTTTTAATAGCAAACGGTGTGTTTCCTGGAAGCATACCATTTGATTGTCTGATGTTATCCCGGGGATTCTCCCATTCAAATGGATACATAGTTGGTTTATCCCATAACTATCCCATAAAATACAGTACCCTCTGGTAAACAAACATATATAGCTATTGAACATGGCCCAGTCGAAATAGTGGATTTACCGTGATTTACCCATAAAAAATGGTGATTTTCCATAGTTTTTTGTATGTTTACCAGGCCGGGTATCCCATGGTTGTCCCATGGTGGGGACCCCATCCAGGGCCACAGCTCCGGACCCTACGAAGTGAAGCCCGGGCAGAAGGCGGATTCGAGGGTTTCACCGGGTCCGGTGAGACCCAGGGATCATCAAACCACCAAAAAAACGGAAAAAAACCGATGGTTTTTGGTCGTTTTTTTCTGATCTAAGATTCTAATGATTTCTATTATTCTAATGATTCTAAGAATTCTAATATTCAATGATTTCTAAGATTCGAATGATTTCTATGGTTTTTTTCATGGATTCAACCATGAAAAGAATTGGAAGACTAGCCGTTATCTAGAATGGAAACGGGTAACCATCAATGATGGTTAGATCTTAGGGATGCCATGTGGGGATTTTTTGTGGAAAGTCTCCAACAATCTGATGTTTGGATCAGTCTGTTTTTATGGGGTCTAGAGTCTAGCCATCTGAAAATGGGGAAAATGTTGATGAACCATGGGATTTTAGGATTCTCAGATTTCTCAGGGGACTTTATGTTTAATAAATTATCATGGAACATGCGATAAGATGTCATGTTCAATCGAGACATTGAATAGTGTATATAGCGTTTTCGTATCCATGTTTCCTTAGCTTCCTTGCTGGTTGTCAATGGAGAGCAGAAATGCCTGAAAGATTGTGTTTTGCAGGGTTCATCACCACCACATCCATTTGTCACATTTTGTCAGCAATCTCCGTGATCGCCAGCAATAGTTTCTCTGGAATTTACCCTCTGGTTATGACTAACATAGCCATGGTATAGATGGCCCATAGAAATAGATGATTTTCCCAGCTAGAAAGCTCCATTTATGGTTGGGATTTTCCAGTTCGCTATGTTAGTCACCAGAGGCTATCCAGATCAAATCGGTGAAGTGATGGTTTTGGAGGCAGTTGATTCCACCTGTGAACCATTAAGATTCCAACCCATGATGAACCATCATAGATATTCCATAGATATTCCTATAACTATAGAAATCTATAGATATTGCGTAGATAGTCCAATATTTTGTCCACTGATATTGTATGAAAAGTCTCCATGGATCTTATACAATATATTATATAATTGTATATATACATATAGTTCTTCCCAAAAAACACAAACCATCCGGATTTCCCCCAGTGCCCGGTGCAGTTGATCTTTTGTGTGGAAGACGTTGCTTTGCTACCCAAAGTCCATGGATATTCCATATTGTATCTCCAGGATGATAGATATTCCAGGATATTCCACAGTTTTCCCATATATATATATACGTATTTAAAAAGAAAAGAAAAACTTATTTGAATTTGAAGTTATGTATATATATATATAATATCTATATCTATCTAATATTCCATATCTATCTAACAAAAAATACCTTCTTCACCGTCTACAGATGGCGATCTCTCCCGGGAAACTCGACCACTTGGGGCCCGCCGAGGTGCGCGTGGGCGAAATGCTGCAGGAGGTGGGCCACGAGTACGGCACCACCACGGGGCGCCGCAGGCGCTGCGGCTGGTTGGACCTGGCCCTGGTGAAGTACAGCGCCATGGTGTGCCTTGGAAGGCGGAAAATGCCAAAAGCGGTGGAAAATGGGGCGAAAACATAGGGGAAAACTGTGGAAAATCAGGGGAACATGGGGATTTCTATGGGATTTAGATGGGATTTCACCAGCAAAGAGGGGATTTGACCAATGGATAATGGAAACTTGAGTTAGCAACTCCTACAGTAAACTAACATAGCGATGGAAAATTGGGAGGTTGATGACCAGGAAGAATAGGGAACAAGGGGCAAGTTGACCCAAAGCTGTAGATTCAACCGACCAAAATGTGGTGATCAATGCTGGCTTTGCATTGGAATTTCTGGAGAAATGTCACTACCATAAAGTTTCACTCTACAAAAGTAGGGACTTCTTGTGAATTGTCCCTTTAGCCGAGTCTGGTAGTTTTCAGTGGCTAGGTTGGGTTCATGTCTTTTGCGGGAACTTGGCTATTTGAAATTCAAAGTGGTATTCAAAATGACTCGATTTGGCCATGTTTGGACTGCACATGTTTGTTCAAGTGCGAGATTCTCAGATTCAGATCGGAAGAGGAAACCAGTTTGTTGAAGAGAAGTTTCTGAAAGGCATCAGTTGTTGCCATGGTCCATCAATGTCAGAACAAGTCATCAAAAGTCCATAAAATTCCCATAGGTTTCCACCGGAGCCCGATGGTTTCAGGGGGATCCACCAGGGTTGATGCCGGATATGCTGGTCCTGAATTGGGTGTGGATGTGGACCATCAATTTCAAGATCAGGGAGCCATAGACCTTGGTGATTTTCAGATATTTTCAGATAGTCTTAGTATTATCCACGTACTCTTGGATAGCTTGGATAGTTCATGGGTGGTTTCAAAACGTGTCAAATATGTTCATGTTCCATCATGACATGATGATACCACGGTTCTTATTTTTCAGGCGGATGAAAACCACCAATCCCAATGTTTTGCATTGTGTTCGCACTGAAATTGCGTTGAATACGAATACCACTGGGATTTCCCACACCCGGTTGGATTCGTTTTTTCCAGTATTGGATAACGGGCACATGTACAAGAAACAGTTGGATTTACCATGATTTACCACTCAACACAACACGTTCCATGGGTTTTCCCTTGAACCAATGATGTTTGGAGATGCTGTCCTCCAATTCCGAGGAATGGCTTTGATAGCATCAACATTACCAAGTTGGACGCAGCTTGGAAAGCATGGATTGACCATCGAAAGATCAGTTGAAAACCTTGGCGTAGCTTGTATCGTTTCATTAGTTTTACCATCTGGTTATGACGAACATAGCCATGGAAAATCACCGTTTTGTAATAGGTAAACCATCTATAAATGGGCCATCTATACCATGGCTATGTTAAATAGCCAGAGGGTAGTATTCACCTGTTCTAGTTCTTGATCTTGGGGATTCAATTTGTTGCAGACATTGGAAATGCACCACTTTCCAGACAGTTTTGGTCATGTTCCATCATAGAATCAGCTCCTTCGGAAGTCTCAAATCTGAGGTTCTTACAGGTCTGAAGCAACTGCGGATTGCCATCGCCTACCGCAACAGTCGAATGACTGAGGCCTTGTTGGTGGGTTGGTGGGTTGATTTTTGAGCGTTGGGCGTTGGGGGGAACGGTTGATGTTGATGATTATCCGATTATCCCATCCTAATACACAGCTTCCCAGAAACCATGGTTCAATAGGAGAAGTACACATCGTTTTGACCATGGAATGGCGGTGTTTCATAAGGGGGATATGATTACTCCAAGTTTTTCATAGTCTAATTTTATGCCAGTAAAACTTCAATAATTCGACTTTTGCGGGGGTATCTAAGGTTGGCTCTGGGGTAAAGGGTTAGAGAAATGTGAAGATCATTGTGTGTATCCCAGGGATTCCCGGGGTAGCCTTAAATCCCAAGGTTTATCACCATATATATATATTAGTGCCATGAGTTTCGCCGCTTCTGAAACGTCCTTGAGTTTGACTCAGGTATCAATGTAGCAACAATCTGCAACCATGATTTTCTGAATCCAATGGCCAGACCGCCACAGCGCAGCTAAAATCCACTTCAGGGCTTGCAGGACCCAGAAACTCACCATGTATCATATTTCACGACTATGTTAGATGTTCTTTGGGTTTATACGGATCTGATACTAACTATTTATCATCTGTGCCCCTTAGTATCCTATCCGAACAAAAGCATCCTATCCAAACAAAAGCACTTATTTCACGTCAGTGAATCATTACATTTTACCCAGATGATGGGTTTCTTAACATAGGCGATCCCCAAGTCACCATGTGTTTCAATACTAAAATGCTCTAATGACTTTGATTTGGGGGGTACCTTCATATACCTTCATGACTTTGGAAGCCTTCAGATATCCCGCTCCACCACTTCGTCGCAAGGTCAGGTTACCCTGCGGCTACTTCCCATCACATTTGGAGGACCTGAAAGAAGTGGTGTGTCCCTGGGCTACGACGGGACGAGCCCAATTTGGGGATGGAATCGATGACTTGTTTTGCTGGGTCATTTGACCCATGACACCCTAATTTTTCAGGGGGAAATGGACATTGCATAAATTCCAGCTATTTTGATGTGAACAGAAAGGACCCATGGTTCTTGATTTCATAGCCGTTTCAAGCCACAAACATGGGCAGTTTGACTCCACAGATGGGCTATCAGACCCATTTTTGTCTTCAACAAAAATGGGGAGTTTTTCTGGCCATCAAAAATGGGGATTTTGGAGATACCCATATATCAACCATTAATATTAACCATATAATAACCATATAATAACCATTATTAACCATATAATAACCTGATACAGGCCATGATACAGGAATCCAGCAAGAAAGGTGGGCTGTTTTCGACCATGGGTTGAACCGAGATCCAAGGCGAATACGAGACCTTGGAAGGCTGGGCAGAAGACATTTCTGGGTGCCTTGGCGGCGTTAAAAGCGCCGGTGGTTAAAACCGGTGGGTTTTCCATAGCTCTGACCGGTGACCTGGAGCAAATTTTGAATGGATGGATGGTAGCCATACGAAAAGCCTAAATCTATGCTAAGGGGAGTTTTGCGAACCACCAAGTTTTGAAGTTATGATTTAAGCTAGCTCTTTATTGGATATCATGGTTGCTCCCTATCCATCTCAGTGATTCGTCTATAATTCCTAGCTGTTGATAAGAAAAGTTGATATATTCCTAATAGATCCTAATAGCAAACTACGGCTAAGACTTATGTTAAGAAACCTGCTTATTTGTATTATTTTGGCGAGATTCTGAAAAGTGTCTTAAAACGGAAATTTTGATTAAGACATATCGCTGTTGATCATGTGAGTTACGTAGATACATGGGTAGCTCAAATGGTTGAGAATAGGATATCTACCCGAAACCCATTTTCCCATTAAGACGTCAAGTTGAAACCAAATAGTGCTTTGTAATTGACAAGGCCCCGAAAGGGGTGTTTGATACCATTTTGAAAGCCTAGAAGGAGTCCAATTTGGGAGCGCCAAGGCAGGCCTAATTCTTGCTGAGAACCAAACAGAATTACCCTCTGGTTATTTAACATAGCCATGGGAAATGGCCCATAGAAATAGATGGTTTACCTATTAATAGCATGGTGATTTTCCATGGCAAACTGTTAGTCATAACCAGATGGTACATATTTTGCCAACAGCAGACTCTGAGAAAAAAAAATATTCTGGGGCCTCGAGAGTCACAAGTCACCCGACCGTACCTAATTTTACTGGGGTCTTGATCAACTAGAATACTGATTTTTCATAAGCATAAATAAGCAACGGTGATTGTTTCACTGCCAAACACTATCGGATACAACTACTGAAAGATGGTGCAACAGCTTCAACCTATCCAAGAATGCGGAGCTGCATGCATGGACATGGGAATATCCTGGAATATAAACTTTCCATATGCATATACTTTCTATATCTCAACGATCAAGAAAACCAGCATTACAAAGTCTCAGTTTTTGCCGCTGAAAACAGGTGCAGTTCCTTCAAAGATTTGCCAAGCAACGCGAAGAAGTACGTGCTGAGGCGATGGGTCCCGGGTCCCCATCTGGTTGAGGGATCACAGCCATGGTAGAGCAACCTTTATTGGTAAATGAGGAAAGCCATGGGTTGTGCCAACCGGATCCTCAATCGAACTGCGATTTGATGAGACGAGTAGCTGCTACAGATTTTTTGGTGGAAACTCATCCAAAAAAACCAACAAGTTGATCCAATATTAATGTTAAGCTCCAACACTAACCTTCTGCGTTTCTCTGAATTTTAAATGTTTGGAACCTGAAAATCCCAAAAATTGTTTGTCCGTGCTGACTTCCTTCAAAATCATTCAAGATGAGTGAGAAAAGCATAAAAACCTGGTGCCGTGGCAACTTCACATGGAAAATCCATGAATTGTAGATGAAAACCGCTCTTGAACTTGGGCATTCTCGACCTGAATTTTGTGACGCCAGTTTTGATGCTGAGACCTTGATTTCCCCTCAACATCAACGGTCTCAATAATCAGTAAAACTAGTGATGGGTGAGTTTTATTGCTATATAACTTCATAATTTGCTTTTTCACCAAAGATTTAATTGCTAAGAAGACATCGATTTGGAGTGAAAAAAGGTGAGAATTTCCATTGAATTATGACCGTCATGACCGAAAACTCTCTGCAGATCGCAGGATCCAAGAACTTCTGGGCATTCCAGTCTCATGGGTAGGAGACCCTCGGCTCAAAGTAGAGCCTTCTGCGTCTGAAATTGGGATTTGCTTGAAGACTTTGCCGAAGAAAATGTGGAAAATGTGGAAAATGTGGAAACTAGAATTGTTCAATAATTGTGGAGACTATAATATGATTATATCTGAGTTTACTTTTTTGAAATGTGGAAAATGAATGAACATAATTGTTACCTCCAAGAAATTTGCAGGCACCCCAGGGCCTGGGAAAACATGAACGACCTTGCCAACTTCAAGATGTCCTCGTCACAATAAACCACCAAATCAACGGAACAAACTACAATGAGATGATAAATTGCCCTGGGATTTTTTGATGTGGGTATGAGTCAAAATTAGGTACCCCAATACTAGATGGTTATTACAAGTTATTACTAACTATAGACTAAAATCTGTGGTCCCCAGGTCTTTTATTTTGACCCATCACCATGTTGACCCATAGATGTGTTTTAAAACCGGCCAACCCCAATCGAATTTGCTACCTTTTTATTGGACACAACTAGATCGCAAGTTAGTATCCTCGAGGTTCAAGCGCTGAAGAATCCATTTACATCCATTTACTGGAATCCGGACAGGCCAAGTATTTGGTAATGTTCTGTCAAAGCTTAAAACAGGTATGATAGAGGCTGGCTTTAAATGATTATGTATGATGAAGTATGGCCCAAAAGAACGCAGTTTGACTGGACCCACAAGTGGCCGTAGTTTCGACAGCCCCGCAGTTGGATTCGTTTGATATTTGGTAGCAAACGACCAAGCATTCCTTGACCCATGAATGATGATTTCTCAATTTCTCGACTGGAGATACCAGCAAACATTAAAAACATCATCAATCATCATCAATCAGGTTTGAGATTCATCATCAATGACTTAAAAATACTTCAAATACAATCAAATACACATATATGTATACATATATCAAAATGTATATACATATAATTATATATATATATATATGTATGTATATATAATTTATACATATACATATACATATACATACTATATATATATATATATGTATGGATTTCCGCCCCTAAAGACCCTGTGATGGTCCCTTTGTGTGGACCTGCTAAGCGACTTGCGGCGAAGTCGTCGCTGAGGTCGGGCCGGACCGCGAGAGCATGCTGAAGGTGCGGACACAGCCACTACTTTTGGGGAATCTATAAGGCATAGAATATCTATAAGGCATATTATGTTATAATCATAGAATATCTAAATCTATATCTAATTTGTTGGGGAATATACATATATATATACAAGGCATATTAGAATATCTATGTCTATCTATATATATATATATTTCTATAGGGCAAATATATATAATATACACACTATATTAGAATAATATGATATATGGGATTATAATATCTCATATGATTACTATAATAGTTTATATCTACACATATACAATATATATATATATACTATATATATATGTTATATACACTACAAATTAATATAATAGATGTGTATCATAATATATTTATATACTACATTATGTATACTATATACTATATACTACAAATCAATATAATGTGTATACTATATACTATATACTACACTATATACTATATAATGTTACTATATGATGTGTATCCCCAAGAAATCTCCACCTCCGAGCAAGCTCGCTCCGAGCTCCCAGGTCGACGAGCCCATCATTCGTCCCGATGGCTCCATCTCGGTGTTTCGGCTGAACGCACCACGCAGCGGCCACGGGGGCTGAACCACAAAAAGCCGTGGAATTTAACGGGATTACCGTGGATTACCGTGGATTATGAGATGACATAAGTGGATATAAGTGGAATATAGGTGGAATATAAGTTGATAATTTTATATATGATGATAGTGGATATAACTGGAAAATTGATTACCGGGGATATAAAATTACATTATTTGAATATATATATATAATTATATATATAACTTAGGGTATAGCTGATAAATGAATATCAATGATGGCTGGTTTTACCTAGGGGTAAACATACAAACCCCTGTTGGTGATTTTGATGGGGATTTAGCCCATATGTATCAGGCATTCATCATTACAATAAATGATAGTATCTGATAATAAAACAATTATGTTCGTAAAACAATAGTAAACCACCCATATGGATTGCCATGAACGCTTTCATAGACCACTGACCAGCCATGTGGTGCCAGGCATCTCCAAACTTTCCCTCAAGTCCATTGAGAAACTTGTCAGTTGGGTCGGGGCAGGAGGCGTCAGAAAGGATGTGTCACCAATATAAAAGGCATAAATTATAACACCTGAGAAATCAAAAGTTTTCTGCTGTTTCATATTGGAATTAAATTTCTGAAGTTTCATGTTACGTTTCTAAGCGTACTCAGGAAAAATGGGATATGCCCCAAGATGTGTGGGCATGGACCCAGCACTTTTGCCGCTTATTTCAGTAGGGTCTCAACCTTCGTGCAGGCTAAAGAATGTGTACGTAGGTAGCTAAACCGGAAGAGGTATCTAGAATATGTATACATACATGCATGCATGCATGCATGCATGCATACATACATACGTACCTACATACACCTACGTACCTACATACATACATACATACACACACAATAAACGCATACGAAATCATTGACATACACAGACATACATACAGTACAACAAAAACTGGACATAAATCATCGGATTAGACCTTTTTTGGCTCCTCACATTGGTTGAAACACACTCAAAGATCAAAGATGTGATTAGGAACCAAGCCGGCTTGGTATCCACTGTAACTTTCCAGAATTAATTGCTTTAGCATGTTCTATTAATGGCTTTATGCCGCATTCAAAAAACCCTTGGTTTCCCCGGTTTCTCCGGGATCCGGGATCGGCTCGGCTCGTGGATGAGCCGTGTGAAATCAGGAGGTGCTGCGAGCCCCCGCAGCAGCGGCCGCATTTGAACGCGGCTGGTCGCGGCGGTAGGCGGTCGCGGTCGCGGTTCCAGACTTTGCAGGATCAGAAGTTCATGGATCAAAAATTATTAAACCTATTATTGAACCTATTATTGCCATATTTAGGCGGAATCATCATCCACTAACCAGCTATTTACGGGTACCATTCGGGTCCAAAACCATAACGACCTCAGTGGGCAACCGTTTGCTCCATTTTTGGTGGCAAGGTGTCGTTGCGTTCTCTGATTGAAAGTTCCTTAATTTGCATGCCCTGGGAGAGGATGAATCCTCCAATTAAAAGTAGTTGACTCCAGAGTACATACATACATTTAGTTTACATTTACATGTGCATTACATTACATACATACATATTTGTATATATGATATACGGTTTATATAGTACAGTAATATATTTGTTAAAATAGAGGAGAATCCCAGCAACTTGCTCAACTTATCGATGATTTGTGGCTGGGGATGCAAGTGCGGCGGGACCACGGGTTGCTGTAGGGAGTTGTTTCTTGAAAGCAATGGCGAAGCGGCAAGCAGTTCGGAGTATGCCATGTTCGGATTGTTTCTATGGTTGGTTTCATCATGAAGGTTAGCAATGTCATGAAGCAGCTAAATTTGGATGGTTGCTGCCTCAAATAATACACATTGTCCCATGTGAGCCATTAGACATAGGTTGATTGGTCGATAATTTCGGGAATTATACTGTATTATACTACCGAAATGATCGGGGACTATGATCTTCCATAGGGAAACCTATCTTAACTAGTAATCAACTAGTATAACTGGATGGGATAAATCTATGATAAATCTTAGTATACCAGTTACCATAGAATAACTGGATGGGATAGCATTTACCATAACTAGTAATCTTAGTATAACTGGTTAGTTAAATGGTCAATGGTTAATGTTGATATCCATGCCTCCATGACTCAATTTTCCCAAAATTTTCAGCACAAAAGCCAGTTCTGGTGAGAAAACCACTGGAAATCCACGTGGTACACGCTTGATATGTTTGTCATAGAGTAGATTGATCAATATGAATAGAGTCTATTACTTGAAATTCGATCGTAATATGGAGTCTAGAGGATAATAGAGGGATGAACCGCGATTTTTCACAACCAATGTAATAGAGTTGATTGGATCAGTGGATATAAACCGTGTACCAGAAACGTTTCAGGAAAAGCATGGAAAAGCTATGTTTATTATGTTTATAGATTAGATTACAGTAGATGTATGTCCATTCATCATCTGTAGTTTGCTGTGAAAACTAGAGGATTCCAGGGTTCTGACTTGTTTTGACCCAGTCATTCACCTGTCAGCCGTGGTCAGCCATAACCTGCTGTCGGCTGCTGTTTTTCAGCCACAGGAGATTCCGTGGATAGCACAGTTATGGCCCTTGTCATACCAGTTTTTTCAGTACTGAAATAACCCCATTTATGGTTTATGTCATCATCCCATAGAAATCACCAGTTATAACTGATAGCCATGGCCATAACTGCACCATACTCCAAATTCTGCAACAAGCCTAAAAAGCCATTGGTCGATGAATAGTTTCTCTTGGCCCGGCGCGAGCCATCGGTCATGCGGTCCGTAGGGTTACAACATGTCGTAACCACTGACCACTGAAATCTATGATATCTTGCGGTGAATCAGCAGCAGTAGCAGCCAAAAATGCTGAGTGAAACATCAAAAATGATGGATTTACCATCTGGTTATTTAACATAGCCATGGAAAATCACCATTTTTAGTAGGTAAACCATCTATATCTATGGGCCATCTATACCATGGCTATGTTAAATAACCAGAGGGTAACCCATGGATGATGTCCATTGCTGAAAACTGACCGTCAGACCGGAAGTTGCAGTTGGGATTGATGGGTCTTCAAGCGCCTCAGCGCTGAAAAAAATCCGACTCTCCGATTGATCAATGGATTTGTTTGTGGGTGAATATCCTTTCTCATGATAGTTTGAAACATGTATATATAATTATAAATAATTATATATATACATTGTTTTTATGATTGATATTATATATATATGTGTGTATATATGTATATACATATATATATGTATAATTATATTTATATATGCATATATATGTATATATATATTTGATTTTATATGTATACTGTGTGTGTATATGTATATATATATATATAGTTTATTTATGTTTATTTGTTTTTATTGCGTATATATATATATCTACCAAACTATGATGTTCAAACATGTTTCTGAATTTTACCATCCTAACTATAAAGAGATACATTGTACAATGCGAGGCCCCCAAGATAGCTAAGTTGGTTTATAACTCCAATAACTATGGTTTATGGTATTTATAACTATAGTTACTAGGGCTTATAAACCAACTTATATCTTGGGGGCCTCACATTGTATGTATGTCTTTATATATATAGATCATATTTCTCCCACAATGGAATGATGATGTTTTGGATCTCATTTTGGTGTCCCCTGAGAATAGCAACCCATCTTTTCAAAGCCCACCCGAATCTTCCCCGTGTTACCCTTCTGTAAACTAACATACATGTGGAGCACTCATCATATTGTCGGTTTATAACTTCAATAACTAGGGGTTTATGATACTTATAGCTATAGTTAATGGTTTTTATGAATCAACTTATGACTGGTGGGCCCCACATGGGCCCGGGTTTCCCCATGGATTTTCCGGATCCATGTTAGTTACCCCAAGGCAAGAGGTCGGATCTATGTTGCCAAAAATGAAAGGGCGCCAGCCTTTCTGAAACAGAACCCCTAAGATCATATGGTTGGTTACCCTCTGGTAATTTAACATAGCTATGGAAAATCACTATCTTTAATGGGAAAATCCACTATAAATGGCCATTTTCAATAGTTATGTTAGTTTACCAGAGGGTACATATCCCATTCTATTCCCATCAAAACCCCTATGATTATTCTGCGTAAATTTGATCACGACCTCACTGTTCGACCGAACCCTGGAATCATGGTTTAATAAGAGGAATCATCCCCAAATGGCCGCAAGATTCAGGTTAGTGAATTATTATAATTTACCCAGATTATTGATGAATATAATTTAATACCATGACTTTTGTTGGTTAAATCCCAATATTCCATGGATTTTGGTTTTTTAAGGGATTTTTTTAACCGGAAATCCTTATATGATCTTCATGGTAAAAACCATGGTTTCCGGTTCAGATTTTCCCAAGAAAACCAATCCAATGACATATTCATCCCATCTGGCCTCCCATCTTTGGATGGCACTTCAGATCTGGGGATCTGGGGATCTGGATCTGGGTATATCCAGCAGGCATCCCAGCGCTGGATATCTCCTGTTTTTCTCTGAAGTTCCCATCCCAATTATTGTAATAGCATATTATACTAGTTGCTGGTTTCAAACATTTTTTTCCTGATTTTTTTTGGGATGTCATCCGAAACCCATTGACGGACTCATATTTTTCAAGATGGTTAAAACCACCAACCAGTACAATATATTATACATCCCCAGATTTGTGCCATTGCTGTTGACCAAGGCCTTCTTACGCCTCTTGGTCTACGAACTGCCTGAAGCGGTGCTGGCACCACTAAGAGGTGAGGGTCCACAAAGAGACCAGGGGACGGTGAGCATGGAATAATAAGATAGGACCCCAGTTCTATTTTGTTAGTTTCTAGAGCTGAGGTAATGATTGATAGGGATAGTTGGGGGCAGTCGTATTTAACTGTCAGAGGTGAATTTCCTGGATTTGTTAAAGACGGACTACTGCGAAAGCATTTGCCAAGGATGCTTTCATTGATCATGAACGCGGCTTGTGAAAATTGGATAAAATTGGATCTTTGTTGCTTCAATCTCCACCAACAAAAGACTGGTTGGTGGTTTGGAACATGTTTTGATCCATTCAGTTGGGAATGTCAGAATCCCAACTGACGAACTCCATCATTTTTCAGAGGGGTTGTTGAAACCACCAACAAAAGAGATTTTCTGCCGGAGCTTCCAATAGGTGCGGGATATGATTCCCGTAGACATCTAAGAATGGGCCCTGATAAAGCAGTGATAAGTCAGTGAAATCACTTAAAAATGCAATGTTTGCCCCATTGATATCGATAAACATAGCTGGAAAAAATCCATAGTAATCCCATATATAAATCTAACAATGGTTGATGAGATAACTGGGAAATTGATATATCAAATCCCATAGTAATACTCCCAAAAAATACGGTGTAATTATATATAATTATACAATCCCATCGTTAATCCCATTGCATCATCCTCATACCCTCTGGTAAACTAAGATAGCTTTGGAAAATCACCAGTTTTAAAAGGTAAATCAGCGAACTAAATCGCAATTTTCAATCGCAAACTGTTGTCATTACCAGAGGGTATATCAGTTATATCCACCATCATGACAGTCACTATGAATCACCATTAAATTTCCATTAGAGCTATGTTAAATTCCAGAGAGTAATCCCCATTATAATACCATAGAAATCCCCATTAATCACTATAGAAATGGCCATAACTCACTGTGGTCAATTACCCAAGGGTAACAATGGGATTTCAATCCAATCGCTGGAAGGTGCCTTTCTCCGCCTGGATCGCGACTCCGACGGCCTTTTGTCCGCCGCGGATTTACACGGAGCAGGGGCAGGCGGGGTCGTTGTCGTTTCGCGTGTGGTTTACCACGGAAAAAAAGGGTGAGTTCAGAAGGTAAATATGGAGAAGTTGGTCTTTCCGGCGGGAAAAATGGTGATTTCAGAGAGATTTCATGGGATTTCAGGTGCCAATATAGCAGTGTTAGATGAGTTCATCATTTTGTTTGCGGCAAAAGCCGATTTGAGCTGAGAAAATGCGGGCAGGTCACAGCAATAATGGTGAGGATTTCAGATGATTTCACCTTATAAAGATACTCTGGTTGGTGGTTTGGAACATGGCTTTTGTTTTTCCCAATAGTTGGGATGATAATCCAATCTGACTATTTTTTTCAGGGGGGTAGGTATACCACCGACTAGTAATGGATGCTACTGGAAGAATAGGAAAAATAAGAAACGGTGGAACCTAAGCCACACAGCTATAGAGACTTCTCGACCTGAGCTGGGTTGCAACCAAGCGTCATGCAGGAAAGTACTGTACCATTGCAAATGAACTGTTGCAATGGAGAGATGGGCAAATAATTATTCAGTGCATGCATGACATCATCATCATCATCATCATCATCATCAGCATGGAGAGGATTTATAATGATTATAATTATTATATACTGAAATTTCATGATGTTATCATCCTCATCCTGCCTCATTTGAAGCTTTTTGAAGACCCCAGGGGGAAAAACGACCACAAGCTCCAGCTTCCTTGATGCTCTCTTCGGCGAGGCGCAGTTAAGCCACTTATTGGTGGACCACAGATGGCGCAGAGTCTATGTTTAATATGAACCATCCAATGATCCATCTGTTTATTTGACATAGCGAACTGGAAAATCCATTTTAAAAATTTATAAATGGAGGTTTATAGCTGGGAAAATCATTTGATTAGTTAAGTGAAAATTGGGGCCCCAAGTAGACTAAGTCTAATTACCTCGAAAGCATTTGTTGGAAAATTGAGCACCCCTAAATTCACTGCTTATTTGGTTGTGTATCATCCTTCTCCATCCTTCTTCCATATGTTTCCCATTGAAACTGATTTGTTTCTAGTATCTCCCATTTTCAGGGACCAAACATGACCAAACCATACCAAACCCATATGGTATGGATTCGTGCTTGAAATGTCGATCGGGCTCTGCAGCGTGCCCGATCCAGGCCTCGGCCTCGCCCGAGGACGAAGAGATCAGGTGACGAAACCATGGGATGAAATCCTTAAGATGGGAGTATCTTGGATAAATGGGATTTCATAATGGGAGTAATGCTTAGTTACTAGTTCATCTAATAGTGATTAGTATTTCATTATCTATCCGTTATCTATGAAAGTATGAAACAAGCATCATGGGAGTATGGTTAGATCTAATACTCCACGAAATATTTCTATGACTAAGATCCAACCGTTTGAAATAGTGAAAAGTATGTCCCTTTCGTCTGCTATTCAGTGTCCTCCTGGTAATGGCTCAACATGAAAAGTATAGATTAGTTGGCGAAGAAACATGGTTTGTGTCATGAGTCATGTTACATTTATCTAGCATGATCAAAATATATATATATATAATGTTGTCACAAAACCATAGAACCCCCCCAAAAAAAATCATTGGAACATCATCCCAAAATCATTGGAACATCATCCCAAAATCATTGGAACATCATCCCCATCTTCGATAGGTCCTTGCTGGCCGTCAGCGGTGGCGCCAATGGCTTGGGCTTTAGCGACTTCGTTGCAGTGATGATGTCCGGGCAGCTCAGGGGAGGGCGAAAAAGATGAGGGATCTGGGTAAATAATGGGGATTTATGGGGATTTATAGGGATTTATAGGTGATATCCTGGATAATACCCTCTGGTAAACTAACAAAAAGCTATTGAAAATGGTGATTTATAGTGGATTTTCCCATCAAAAATGGTGATTTTCCATAGCTACGTTAAATTACCAGAGGGTATGTGGTGATTGAACTGCTTGAACCACTAAATAAATACGTTGTTTATTGTAACCTTTGGAAACGGGAATATCATTGATATAGCTGAGACTTGTTTGGTATTGAGATTAAATACGGGGATGTACGCATCGACTGGTAAGAATCGCAGTATATAACGGTATAACCGATAAATGATGGTTGATTGGTTCTGACATTGGGATTTAACAATCAACCAGATAGGTCATCAATCATATATAAATATAGGTTTAATTATATGTGCTTAGAACGTGTTTGATATTACACAAACATAGATACGGACAATGAAGTAATAAATAGCGATACGGCAAGAGCCTGCAGGAAGATTCGATGATAGGATGTGCCACCCATTTGTCAAGTCAAATGACATGTAGTTGTTGTTCTGTTTTGACTCCTTGGCCCCCATCATTTTCTTTGGTTTTTGCAGGTTCCCTAGCGGCCACTACTCCCAGCCCTGAGGCCCTTTTGTGTGTCATTGGAGGACTGGCTGATGAGTTTCCCGTTGGAAGTTACAGGAGACCAAAATTTACATAGTGATGGCCATGGCTATTAGTTACAACTGGTGATTTCACTGGGATTATACATAAACCATTTTTTGGGGGTTAGTTCAGTAGTTATAACTGGTATAACTTGGGCCATAACTGCATAGAATAACCATTCAGGCCATGTTCATCCCATGTTCATTGCAGACAGGGACTTCGGAACGCCTTCGGAACGCAGGGATTTGAAAAAAGCGCCACGTGCCGCGGCTCCCAGGGTAGCGGTTCCTTTGTTGAGTTCATGGGGGATAAGGAAGAGGATACTTGAGCTACCCTCTGGTTATTTAACATAGCCATGGAAAATGGCCCATTTATAGATGATTTTCCCATTAAAACCTCCATTTATGAGGGATTTTCCATGGCTATGTTAAATAACCAGAGGGTATAGATTTTGTTAACATTGGATGATTTTTTTTTCATTGTCTCCTTCGTTCTTCCTCCGTTCCTTTCCTAGTATTTTTTTCTTTTGTTGTTTTTGTCCTTTTTGTTTGCGCATGTTTTCCTTTTTTCTTCCTTTCCTTTGTCCTTTTTCTGTCCTTCTTTCCTTCCTTACTTTCTTCTTTCTTTCCCACTTTCTCTCCTCTTTTGCTCCCTTCCTTTCTCTTCCTCCTTTTCTTTCGCATTTGGCCTTGGTAACACGAACAGAACTCCCATCTAAGAGTCATTGGAGGGCCATCAAAAATGATAGCAGTCCCGGCAGATGTCACTTGGCCCCAACAGGCCGGCCAGAAGCGCAGGCGACCCAATCGAAGAATCGATATCCCTTCATATTCCTATATGATATAAATATATGATAATAGAATATAATTAATGGATACACATAGTATCATATGTGTAGTGATGGTTTCAAAGGTTGATTTTATTGTCAATCCCAACAGGATCTGATAGGACGGTCATAGGGGTACCTCATTTTGTGAGTTACCTGGGATGCCGGTCAAACGCGAAGAGATACTTTTGGTTTTTGTTTGAAGCACGTGCCAGAAGTTCCATGAACGACGAAATCAGAGGGTAAAAACCTGCGTTTGCTCATTTTTATGCCAAATTTGGTTGCCACTTTTTGTAGTAAATTCATAAATTCATGTTCACCGCAGGCAATTGTTTGTTGCAGGTACACCCTTCTTGTAGGCAATTTGAGCGGCCACAGAAAAAGGGGGTTCCCGACCCCTCAAATTCAGAAGGGGATCAACCCCAACAAAAAGATGGAACAGATTCAAAATCCCAGTTATCTAAAATCATGATAAATTCATATATAAACTATGCGTTGTGCATTGTTTCGGGACTACAATGACAGAAATCTAGACACCACAATAGTCTTCGTAAAGCAATGTCATGAACCAGCCATTATTATAGTGATTGTTTACAATTTCCGCACAAATTGCAAAAATTCGAGATGGTGGATCCTACTGCTCCACATTTCATGTGGGTAAAACAATCATAAACCATCCCCAAAATCACCGTAGATAGGTGGTACTACTGTAGTATGATGTAGTATGTATATATATATATAAATCATTCCCAAATATGGCTAGTTTATTTGGTAACCATTCCCAAAAATGGCTGGTTTATGGCATTGTTTTACATTGTTTTCACCCACATTTACCCTCTAGGTTATTTAACGTAGCGAACTGGGAAAACACACAATTTTTAATAGGTCAATCATCATGATTATCATCTATACATGGGCAATTTTCCATAGCTACGCCCATAGGATCCATGGTGCTGGTATATATGCTAACATGACTGGGGTATATTGATGGGATCCATGTTACCATATATAGCATACATGGATCCTATGGGTATGGGAGATATACATAAACCATAAATGTCGATCCACGGGGGATTCTTCAAAATGACCTTTTTGAGGTGCTTCCGTGACCCTTTATGGTAAATGTTACCATATATAGCGTATATGGATCCTATGGGACGTTAAATAACCAAAGGATAATACATTTCCATAGGATCATCCCAGGAGGCACAGTGTCGCCTTGCCTTCCAGCGCCTCGCGGGCGCGGAAGTCACGCTGAGTCGCATGGTGCTGGTGGACACGGTGCAGGCGCCGCGCGCCGGGGCGGGGGAGCCCGTTGACCATGGTCAATCCCACATGGAACAAATGTTGAAGGATCACTTAAGCAAGAAAATGGATGACTGATTGGTGGTTTGGAACATGACTTTACGACTTTCCATATATCGGGAATAATAAGCCCAACTGACTTTCATATTTTTCAGAGGGGTCCAAACCACCAACCAGATGAAAATGGTGATTATCCATGGATGAAACTCCTGATTGTCAATGGATTAAATGGGGATATCATGGTTGTAGATGGGTATCATAAACCTACCATGATTCATGATTGGGGATTGTTTCAATCCAACCCATAAAAGTGCTGATGACTTGGGGATGGTGACTCTGGCATTGGTTTTACTGCATTATTTCATCAACTTAAATGATGATTTATGATTTAAAATGATTTAAATATGTTGACATAGTTTAGCATTAAATCGCCATGGAAAATGATGAATTCACCATCACATGTCGATTTAGCCGTTAAGAGCATGGACTTTGACAGAAAGTGAGGCAACCAATCAGCCAGAAAAAGAAGGATTTCATCCCCGACTTGGGATTCGACGAACTGCCAGGTTGGCCCTGATGTTGGGAGCCCCAATCTTCGCAGCCATGTTTTTCGACGTCGTTTGAAGGTTTCGTAATGGATGGAATGGGGAAGCCAATGTTTGGACACACCATCTTAACGTTCAGTTTTTAGGAGACATGATGGTTTCAAGGTCTCTTCCAGCTTAGGAATTGATTGATGACAGGCGGTTCATCAAAGATGTTGATCCTTAGAAGCTGCAATTTGGAAAACTCCGCTCAGCTAGTTGACTGCGGCGGATGGTCCATATACCATATCCCCATTGTGTTTTTGTAAGGCTGGATATATATATATATTTCCTTAATTATGTTATAATATTATATATATGTATATCATTTACACATATATATATATATAATTATACTGTAATACATATACATACAATCATATATCACGTTTTTCCAGTTGATTGTCCATGTGTTTTTTGTCCACCCTCCCAGCTTTCCAGGTGCCTCAGGCCGAAGTGGAGGCCTTCCATGCCGGCCTCCCCGAGGAGCTGGTGGGTTTCGATCCAACTTATGAGGCTGTGTCTGAAAATGAGCTACATCCCCATAGTTCGCTAAGTTGGTTTATAACTTCAATAACCAGGGTTTATGGTAGCTATATCGAACTATTTATTATGGTTTATAAACGAACAAACATCACTGGGGGGGGTCACCACCCTGCAGGATGGGGCCCCCGTTCGATAGCGTTCAGTTGAGATATGGATAAGTGGCTGAATTCGATTGGGTTTATGGTAGACATAACGAACTAGTATTCATGGTGTAATCTAAACCAACATTCACATAACTGGGGGGCACCATCCTGTACTCATATATGGAGGTTTCCTAAAATGGGGATACCCCCAGATCATCCATGTTATTTTGGAAAACCCCATAAACCAATCATTTGGATTACAATGGATATTCCCAACACTTCCCAACTTTTTCGCAGGAGTTGACTTTTGCCGACTTCCTCGAACTCGTCCGTACGTGAGAATGACGTGGGCCGGGAGGCAGGTCGGCTTCGGGCTTCGAGGCAAACCAAGCAGCCCGGGCACATCGTAGTGGGAATCGAATGGGATTGAAACAGTTTACAACGATGTGATATATCCCAAACCGATCCAAATCTGGGATTGACAAATTGAAAGAGTTTTACAACGATGTGATATACTACAAATCGCAAATTGGAGGGAGGAACATTGGCTTTAAGGTTTAATCGGAATGGGATGTAAGGAAAAATTTGCGGGATGGTGTCGGGATTAACTAGCCACTTTCTGGTCAGAAACTGTTTAACTGTTTCCCTCCAAAAATGATGTATAAGTAGGATTTCTACAGATGTCCAACAAAATCCCTGAAGACATACTAGGATGATATAGGATGGATGTTCAATTTTAGTAAGACAATGTCCATAATATAGTTATGTATGATAATATATGATAACCCCTATACGTTCCGTACATGTATATACAAGTACTTGAATCATATATATATACACATGTTATTATATATATAAATGATATATATTATATTTTATATTCTATATAATTATATATTATATTTTATATATCCTATATTTATATTATATATTATTATATATATTCTATATATTATATTGTATATTATTATATTTATTATTATATATATTATTATTATTATTTATATCAGTTGTTATTATATATATAATATATTATACATTATATATTATATCTTATATATTTTATTTATATTATATATTAATTTTATTATATGTTTTTTTAATCATATTATATATATATTATTATTTTATATATGATATGTTATGTATTATTTGTTAAATATATATATATATATATATTCACTATATCTTTTTTTATCATATTATGCATTAAGTATTATATAGTTTACATTTTATATTTTACACTATATATTATATAGTTCATATGTTTTTTAAAGACACATATATTATATACTATATACTATTTACTATATACTATATATATATATATATATTATACACATATATGTATATATACATATATATATATTATTATATTGTTATATATATATATTATTATATTGTTGTATATCTATATAAATATATTATGCATGACCTGTAGATATCCCAGAAACTGTGTGTGAGGCAATCAAGACTATATTTCCCTTATTTTTATTGCCCATGACCCTTGCCAAACCAAGCGAACGTGCAGGCTTGGCGACCATCGATTGAAACTCGCGAAAGGTGTAAAAGATGCGTCATGCCCGGTGGAACATGGCTAGGAAATCCCTCCATAAATGGGCATTAAAATGGGGAAATCGGGCATTAAAATAGAGAAATCATCAGTGGGGGATGTTCCAGCATGCCATTTTTGATTATGAGAGGCAACTTTTTTTTCGATTCCTTGGCTGAGGCATTTGCGACTGGTTGGAAGTCATAAAAGAAATGAGGCTACAGAGATTGTTGATGTTTTGTTCTTTGGAAGGTTGACGGTGCAGTATCTTGTTCCATGTATGGAAACGTATGGAGTTCATATTCTATTCTAACATGTGTTAGGTTGTTTTTCTTTCCGGAGCTTGGGTACCACGCAGGTATTTGAAACATTTGGAGGAGACAAGCACTGTGGGGACTCTCAGCATGATGATCATGATGAGCCGGAAACCCACAAGATCCGTGATTTGCTCAACAAATCAAGAGCTTCATGTGTTTGACAACGATGACGATACCTTTGAAATACACGAAGAATATGTTGTACTAAAAGGAGAGAGCTCACTGAGCTCACTGTACTTGTACCCAGTTCATTATACCTCTACTTGGTGGCTCATCCCACTTAGTATAAGTGTTTTTTTCCCCAATTATAAGTGGATTAACCCTACTTATCCCATGTGTAACTAGGGTTATAACCCACTTACTAAGTGGGATGAGCCACCAAGTATGAAACAAACGTTGGAAGTAGGTTTACGCTGGAGCTCCGTCAGTGCAACTTGGGCGTTGATGCAGCCAAGCAACTTTTGGATATCCCACGACCGACATGTACCCTCTGGTAAACTAACATAGCTATGGAAAATCACCAGTTTTAATGGGAAATCTCACTATAAATGGGCCATTTCAATAGCTACGTTAAATTACCGGAGGGTATGTTTATACTTATAAATGATTTGACATGATTCAACATACATACATGTCTAATATTTCTAGTTGGATAACAATAGATACATATCAACATAAGCAGCTTGCAGTTTGTAGAGTTGTTTTTTCGTGGGTGCCATATACCCTATCTAGCAGGCATTCAATTCACAAATAGTTTTTTTCTCCTTCCAAACAAAACGGATGGATTCACAGACAATCAGTAGAATGTAGAATTCATCAACATTGGCCAATTGCTAGTACATATTACATATCTGTGATTTCCCAATCTTCCCCACTTTCGTGCTGGCTTCCATCCCCATCGATGTAGAAGCCAAATGTTGCAATAGCAACCGCAGCACAATCTGTGTTGTTTTCTTTTATCTTGGTTTTAATGGTTTACTGGGATAGGATGGGAATTAAACATTTATTCATGTGTATATACACATTCATATGTATATATATATACCAGATACGATTGTACAATTATAGCTTTATACCTGACAATCTGATGAACAGAACCCCTAAAGTCTTGAAGACTTGATGCCCTCGAGTAGCAAATTCCTGAGGCCTATCCCCTCCATCAAGACGCCAAACTGTTGGAGGTGCGACGCCCTGAGTTTGTTGGGTGGAACCCTCTGGCTATTCCTTGTTGGGCTAACATGGCACCATGGTACGGTGTGGAGTGGATTCTGTTATATTCTGTTTATGAGGAAATCGTGCAACTAACCTGTTCAATAAGATCACTCCAAAACTGACATGGAACCCAATGCAGGCCCGAAGTGAACCCAAACTGCACCCTGAAACAGTCAACATGGATTTTGAAAAAGTCACTGCAAATCGATCTGCAACCTTGAAGGCCGGGTTGAAGGCTCCTAGTGATTGTGAGATATGACAGGATATTAATTAAGGCTTAATTATATGGGTTGATATGGAAGAATGGGGGATAAATGAAAAATTATGGGATAAGTGATGATAAGCAAGTGTAATAAGCATCCCCACGTTTGAGGTTTATTGTTGGGTATGCCCCCATTGGGATGAAAAAAAACAACCATCAACCAAGCAGTGTGTTAACCAAACACCGGAAATCCCGGATGGATAGTTTGGTTCCTTTTCTTTGTTGTAAATGGGAATATTGATGGTGATTATGTGTATATATATATATATTAGTGGTGATTATAACATTATATATATATATATTTATTGATGGTATAATATATATATATATGATATGTAATATATTATTGTGATTTTGTCTACACCAACCAGCCTAAAACCATCTAAGATTACAGCAAGACCCTATGGTTTGCCCGCAAGGTTAGAATGGAGTTCAAATAGTATCCTTCGACATGCTCAAAAACCTGCGCAGGGCCAGTGTTTTGGTATTTACCAGCCGACGACCCCTCAAAACCCTAAATTT